GAATTGTTCCCTCATTATTTCATCCTACAGGCCGAAGTGAAATCTCACATAAAGGGGATCTGGCTGTTTTTTAAGCTAATAAAGCGAACCAAATCCCGCAAAAAGGCAGCATGAGCATCCAGAGTGGTCAAATCAAGAGATAACAGGAACATAAATGAGGACTTGATGTCCACTAAAGATGGTAATGGCGAGACAAAACATCTTTACAGTATTGAGCCAAATGTAGAAACCTTTCTGGGAATTAGACTTATCGTTATCCAAGTCTGGCATAAAGTAAAGCTTTCAAAGGGAGGATTCAGCTGAAAGTGCAGCTGGAAGAGGCCAAATTGACTAAATGCACTGAAGCAACAGTAGTTTCCAGATTAGAATTATTCAGACAGGTTAAACCATCTACGACCAGGAAGTCAATAGTCTCTGTTATTGTTTTTGTCATTAACAGAATGTAAAAGAGAGAATTAAAGAGTAAAAAGCTATTGTCATGTGTTGCGGCATTATTCCTGCTGTTTCATTCTCAGTACCCTGACAAAACAAATTGGATGACTCCAAACTTTTTTTCATTCATTCAATTTACCTTTGGTGAATGTACATGAAACTGTATGCAATTAAACTCAGTTAAACAGTTTATACTCATGAGGGACAGGGCAAAGGAAGCATTTCAAAGACTACCTTTTAAATACTTTAAAATTTATGTTAGAAATAAATTTAAAGTAGTTGGATGTACAGAATCAGAATCAGAATCAGAATCAGGTTTATTGCCAAGTAGGTTTTCAGACTTACAAGGAATTTGCCTTGGTGTTTAGTGCACAACACAACACTTCTATGAGAAGCAAGAATAAAAAGTAAAAATAAAGATATAGGGCAGAATGATAAAACTGAAAAATACAATCTTTAAAAGTATAAATCTGAATGTACAAATTAACAATCTTTAAAAATATAGATTTGAATGTGCAAATTAACAATTGAAATGTGCAATGTTGATCTGCAACAACAGACCAGAAAATGCTGAACGTAGCATTGGGTAAATTAGTGAGGTAGAGGGGGGGGAGAAGAATAGGTGGGGGTCGCTGGTCTTGTTGATGAGGCCAGTTGCTGTTGGATAAAAACTGTCTTTATGGCGTGAGGTTTTGGTCCTGATGGTCCTCAACCTTCTGCCAGAGGGGAGAGTTTTAAAGAGTTTGTGACCAGGGTGAGAAGGATCAGACATGATCCTTCCTGCACGCCTTAAAGTCCTGGAGGCGTACAGGTCCTGAAGGGATGGCAGATCACAGCCAATCACCTTCTCGGCTGAGCGAATGATACGCTGCAGTCGGCCCTTGTCCTTAGCGGTGGCAGCAGCGTACCAGATGGAGATGGAGGAGGTGAGGATGGACTCAATGATGGCTGTGTAGAAGTGCACCATCATTGCCTTGGGCAGGTTGAACTTCTTCAGCTGCCGCAGGAAGAACATCCTCTGCTGTGCTTTCTTTGTGAGGGATCTGATGTTCAGCTCCCACTTGAGGTCCTGGGTTATTGTGATCCCCAGGAAACAGAAGGACTCCACAGAAGCAATTGTGGAGCCACACAGAGTGATGGGAGCAGGTGGTGCTGTGTTCTTCCTGAAGTCTACAACCATCTCCTCTGTCTTGAGCGCGTTGAGCTCCAGGTTGTTGGCTGCACACCAGGACACCAGACGGTCGATCTCCCACCTGTAGGCGGACTCGTCCCCATTTGAGATGAGTCCGATGAGGGTCGTGTCATCCGCATACTTCAGGAGAGACATACATTTGACTATCCTTATAACACAACTAAAAAGTCAGACTGAAATTCCCCTCACGAGCTTTCATCAACTGCCGCATCCACCTACAGACTCAGTCAGGGAGCCCGGCAAATGTCTGTCTCTGTGGCCTGACACCAAAAGATTATAAGAGGTTGTTGGATCCAATTTTTGTCTCAGACCACCGACGGAAATCATTGCTATTAATTTGTCTCTTTCAGTTCCTCTTCCACCACTTCACCCAAACGTCCTCTCCAATCAGGCCGGGATGTGCCTCACTTCAGTGACCACTTAAGGAAAGCAAAGCAATGAGGATTAAGGAGAGGAGGGAGGGAGAGAACCACAGACGGGTGGAGGTTAGGGGAGAGATCAAAGTCGGGGTGACATTTTCTTCTAGTGTAGAAAATAAACAAGACCCCTGTTCTTAACATAAGCGGGGGTCAACTTCCTTTTGTTATCTCTATGATTTATCTAATGATACTGCTATAGATGAGTAACGTGCTCCTCAATAACCAGTCGCTTCTTGAAATGTGACCAGAAGGACGACAAATGCCCCATCAGGAAAGCTTCTCCTTTATGCTGTGAAGATGCCTTTTTTGATATATCAACAAATGACTATGGAAAGTGAAAATTGGTCCCTGCAAAGAAACGAATTCCAAATGAGGCATTTTCACTAATCTTTCTAAAGTTTTCAAAAACAGCTTAAGTCTTTGAGTTTGTTGAATAAGTGTTAGTTTACGCATTTAAACTATGACAGATTCCCAGTTATTCTTAAATTTACCAAGAGTAGGCCGTGCGAATGGTGAGAGGAAGCAATTCTGCAAATTTAGCCATGTAGCGTCTCTGGAACCAAACCTGCCGTGTCGAATCAGAACATGACAGTCAAGATGTCGTGAAGATGGCTTTCTTTTCAGCCCGGTTAGATTGCCACGATAATATATGCGATGCACCGGAGGAGGCATCTGTCATCATCCCAGATTCAGAAGACGCTCCCGGTAAAGGTTCTGTCCCGTGTGCATTTCCATTCGACTGTAAATTAGTGATGCCCCATTGTGAAGACACGTAGTTACACTCGTCAAACCAGTCGGTGTCGGTTTGCTTTGACAATACACGTATTCTGATGTCTTTCTCTTAACTGAAAGCTGCGTGCAGCTGGTCCATTATTATCTGACATAATAGTGGAAATTACCATTTTTTCCACCCAGCAAAATAATCTGGGTTATCTAATAAATCCGCCATCATGATGTTCATCATGTTATGTCTGACTTTCTTCATCATGCAGCCCTCAGAATGTCATTGTTTAGTGTCTCTCTGTTACAAAATGTAGATTTTGTTATGAATTCCTAAAGCTGGACTGGCAGACAGATGAATTTACTGAAGAATGAAAAGAAACCTGCTCCCCACATGCGATGAATATATAGAGAAAGGTTTTGCCTTTTTAAATCTTACTTTGCTGAATCTGTCATGGCGTGTGAGCGTGCACACGTGTGCACGATGCATTACAGCATCTGCTTGTGTCGATTGATGGTTAAATTCCTTTTGATTTGGTGTAACCGAATGCAGTTACTGTTTTATTTACGTTGTCACCCAACGGAAATGCAAGTCATCGGCAAAGTCGTACTCTAAACGGAAATACGCACACATGACAAAACATTGTCGAGGTTATTGATGCACACGTTTGTGCAGTTTAAGAGTGTGTGGATTTGTGTTATTTATTCCCAATATGTGTGTGTGTAAGTGGGCTCTTGCACGGAGCTGGAGCGTGTCTGTAGTGTGCGAACGCGTAACGAAAAAGACTCCTTTTGCTGCACATCAGCGGATGATTGGCTCCCTGTGGTGCATCTTTGATTAGGAGGATAACAGGCCTCTGCAGCAGCCATGCAAAGTGTCTGTGAGCCTTTTGCCGTCTTGTGCGCCTCCTCCTCTGTTCATTTTAAGACCAGCGCTCCGTCTCCTCTTCCTCTCCTTTCTCGGTTTCTCTCTCTCTACATCTGTCACTTGTGTCTTTCCTCTCTCCCTGCTACGCTGGCTCCTGAGTCTAACAAGCTGCCAGGGGACTTACACCAGAGTACACCCAGAAATTTGTTGAAGGGATCTAAACAAGGGATGACTCATCCCCAGATGGCTTCATTTCCATCTCTGCCTTTCAGACTTCTTCCTTCACCTTGTCCTTTTAAGATCACTTATGAGGAAGACATCTTTATTTTTTTGTTTAAAAAATAAGTAAATGCAAATGATTGGCTCTTAATATCGTACACTTAGAGAAGCAGAAAACTAACACATTTTGATTTTTTTATTTTTAAAGCCATTTTTACACATCAGTTTTGTGGTCAAAATTAGCTTTTTGTGGGTCTCATAATTCCACTTTGACCAATTTAACATAAATTAAGAAAGCTATGCAATTATGTAAATATACAAGTCGCCTTTTGTCATTCTTTGTGATGTAAAAGTATTTTTTTACCCTATTTATGTGTGGTATTGTCATGTTTAGTCGTCACAAGTAATGTAGACTACTGTATAGGATGTAACACATTCAATCAAAATTGTTGAGTTTGATTCTTTCTTGCTTGTCAGGTTTATGGAAAAAATGACAAACTTCTGCTGTTCCATAGAGGCATTATTTTATTATTTGGGAATTGTCATAATTCTGACTTTCAAAGACTGCAATTTATAAACTCTCAAAGGTTAACCGAGGACACCTGAATACAGGGGCATTGAATATGAGTAGGTCATTTTCTATGGCCATCTTCTCAATAAATGATAAAGTCGGTAAAATAGATCATGCACTAACTTTGTTGCATTCGATATTGTGTGGGATAAAATGCCAGCAGAGGGGTATTAAGATGCTTATGGCATTGGTTTGTTCTCCTAAAAAAATGCCATCATGAAAACCCAAAGGCTCCACCAAAAAAATGGAAAGCCAAAACATGAATAGTTTGTCTTGTAATATCATTTGCCATAAAAAGGCCATTAAAGCCACGGTGAAAAAAAACACACAAAATTATTTTTTTTAATCTTCTGATTGACAGTGGGAATATAAAATATAAAGTCCCACGCCCTCTCGTTACATTTGTGGTTTACATTTTTTTCTCCAGTTCAATTTCATTCTGCAGCAGTCACTTCTTCATGAATCATTCAGCGCTTTGCATAATTAGGAAAACATCTCTATCAGCTAATTCCCTGGGTGTGAATAATTGCATTGGATTTTGGGAGTTGACTTATTAACTCTGTGCCTGTCTTGTTATTATTGTCTCCGCAGGACTTCCTCACCGATTTGATGATGTCTGAGGTGGACCGCTGTGGGGAGAATGAGCACCTCATCTTCAGAGAAAACACTCTAGCCACAAAGGCCATTGAGGAATACCTCAAACTGGTGGGACAGAAGTACTTGCAGGACGCCCTCGGTGAGTGGAGCAATAATCAAGATAAGACGGGAAAGCTATTATGCGTCTGTACCATGTCTTATCTTGCATGTTGTTCCTTTCTATTTAACCCCCCACCTCTCTTCTCCGCCACGTGCTGTGCAGAGTCAGGTGATTTTAGGCAATGAGCGTCGTGCAAGTAAACAAACACCAGAGGTATCAGGAATTAAAGTGATCCATCTAATTTCCCCAGGAATCTCAACTCTGTGTTTACATTTCCTCTCTGAAGACAACTTTTTTTGGCCACTCTCCTTTTCTTCCTCTTTTTTTCTGAACTATCAACAACTTCTAAAACAAACACAACAAAAGTTATGTAAGTAAGTTGCAGCCTATAGACGCCGTGTTTTCTGTCTACCTCACCTCATCAAAAAAGAAAAAAGAGGAAATGAAAGAATAAGTTTGTGTATCCATAATAAGAACAGCTTCTGTTAAATTGGCTCTGCTGTCTTTAAAAATCGAGGAGGAGGAGAGTGGAAGCTGGCCTGAATGAGACTTGATTAGAGATTCCAGCAAAGGTGGAGGATATTTAGCTCTAATTTGTAGTTACAACTAGTTCCCTCCCCTCAACTGATGCAAACTAGACTAACCTTGGTACTGTGGTTTTGCCAGTAGATGTAGAAAATTGTTGAATGAGCAGGAACTAGTTATAAGACCCCATCAGCTTGGACTCTTTCATTTTTCGTTGTTATGATGGGAAATTATAAGTTTTTACAATATGCAAGAAAACGATAGTTCCTGATGACTATTCTAGTTGCAAATATAGTCTTATATCATTTCAATGTTCAAGCTTTTGGAAAATAAATGGAAAAAGCACAGCCTTATTTTGAAACTGAGATGTATTTTGTGTTTAACCTGCCATTGAACCTGCGCCAAGTTGGATGGAGTGAAGCTGGATCAATACGGTTTATTTTCCTTTTTCTAGTTTTAGACTATTTCATTTGAGCGGGGCTCATTTGAGCAGTGAACTCATTGAAGTCGAAGCACTTTTACTCCGCGGTTGGTTGATCAACCGCGTCAGTGTCTCTGTTCCCCTGCCAAACGAGGAAAAATAATTCTATCGTTGCTTTTCTCCTTGCGCGTTGCTCCGTTTGTTTTAGGCGAGTTCATCAAGGCTCTGTATGAGTCAGATGAGAACTGCGAGGTGGATCCGTCCAAGTGTTCGTCAGGTGACCTGCCTGAGCACCAGAGTAACCTGAAGATGTGCTGTGAGCTGGCCTTCTGCAAAATCATCAACTCCTACTGGTGAGCTTTGGAGACCTTTTATACGTTGCACATTGTATTCTATGCATCTGATTAAACGTATCCTCTGGTTCTTGACAGTGTCTTTCCACGAGAGCTAAAAGAAGTGTTCGCATCGTGGCGGCAAGAATGCAGCAACCGCGGCCGGCCGGACATCAGCGAGCGCCTGATAAGCGCCTCGCTGTTCCTGCGCTTCCTGTGTCCGGCCATCATGTCGCCCTCGCTTTTCAACCTGATGCAGGAGTACCCCGACGACCGCACGGCGCGAACGCTCACGCTCATAGCCAAAGTCACACAGAACCTGGCCAACTTCACCAAGTGAGTTTTCCTCATTGTCTTTGTTGAAGTGTTTTTGTGTCTTTTTCTGACCAGACCCTTTGAACTTTGTGATTTTTTTTTTTGTCTCTGCTCCACCAACAGATTTGGGAACAAAGAGGAGTACATGTCTTTCATGAACCAGTTCTTGGAACACGAGTGGACCAACATGCAGCGTTTCTTGCTTGAAATTTCCAACCCGGAGACCATCTCCAACACGGCGGGCTTCGAGGGCTACATCGACCTCGGCAGAGAGCTGTCAACCCTGCACTCACTTCTTTCCGAGGTGGTCTCCCAAATGGACCAGGTGCTGAAAAACATACCTCTTTTTTTTTTATTCGCTAAGCCTGACTTTCCCCCTCCACTGTGTGTTGCCTTGAAGAAGTTCAGTCAAATAATCTTTCGCAAAATTGCCAACATGTCTTTGAGGTTTCCATTATTGCTAATAATGAGGGGGCTTCTATCTAGAATATTTTTTCCAGGGTTTAGTATGTAAGAAATCCACCTCAACAAATAATTTAAGTCATCCTCGACTTTTTTTTTATCATCAAGTCCTCGTTTTTAATCCATGCGCGTGCCTCAGCAAAGATATAGCTTCGTACATATCATACATTCCAGCAAAGAGGGAATCCAGATGCTGAAAAATATGTCAGGGTTTTCAGCACATCATCATCCGCTTTGGGATTTGAATCAGGCTTAGACTACATCAGGATGTTTATCCCACATCAATCAATAATTCATTTTTTTTCATTACATAAGCAGCGCGCCAGGGAGGAGTTTTTGTGAAGCCTCAAAAGCTGGCCGAGGCATTTTAATGGACTTACAACGATAGTTGCATTAACTTTGGTAGCAGATGGAGAGCCAGTGGAAGCAGATCATCCAGCTCTCTCAAAAATGTTGTTTTTTTCTTTACACAGAAATCACAGTCTTGTTGATATACCAGATCTTCAGACTGGGCATCCTACTGCAATATTAAGAATGTTGTCTGAATAAGATAGGGGGCTGAATAAATAACAGGAAATGCAAGTAGGGTATTCAAATCAAACTTAACTGAAATGTTATCTAATGCCCCAACAACAGCGGCACAACAAAATATTTAATTTGGGTTATGCCTAACTGTTTTCTCTATTTTCACAGAGTGCAGCGTCAAAGCTTGGTCCCCTGCCCAGGATCCTGCGAGAGGTGAACGCCGCCCTGTCTAATCCGTCCAGTGTCCTGATGACACACGGACATTCCTCAGAGCATGTGGCCTCCCCTCCTGCCGAGGCAAGCTGCAGCATTTCCACCGGCCTGCAGAAGATGGTCATAGACAACGAGCTCTCAGGGTACGGATGTGGATTGACATCATGTGGAACACACACACACACAGAGGCTTTGTATCAGAAAGACTGTAAAACGCATTGGCTAGCTCATCTGTGCATAGATTTTAATTAGAATTGTGTACACTGATTAGGGGATAAGTTGCTTCCTTTCACCTGCCCAGTAAGATGCAAACATTTCCCAATACAGACATTTCGTTTAGGCCGGTAGGCCAGGAGTATTTCACCCAGTTTGTCAGTCGCTCCATATTAATGTTTCAGATTATTTCCTAACCCTGCTGTTGACTGATGGACAGAAAGGCTGATTTGTGGCTGGCTCTGCCTCTAGTGCTAGTTTAAGCTTCCTTTATGTAGGTTAAAGAGAAGTCTCAAAAATACCAAATCTTCTTTGTAGATTCATCTGCTGGTTCCCATCAAACGTGTCTGACCAACACGCTGCTCGCATCAGAAATGTGAAAACTGTGCGCACATCCTGCGTCTGCTTTCCTAAAGTCATTAAACGGCTTTATGGAGGTTTAAATGGTAGTAAATAGAGACAACTCTCAGGGTACAGTCTTCTATTAAGGCCGTAACCTTATGTCAACTATCAAAAACATTAATCCGGATGTGTTCCAAGATATTCAGCCTTTTTTTTTTTAGACGTAATCTTACAGAAAACAGATTAACCGCACTGTAGATTAAAGTTCAAATGAGTATCTCCATTTTTGTGTGAGAATTTTCTATTTATATAACTGCAACAAAATAAAACAACTTTAAGCCAGATATTTTTTTTTCCTATTTTCTTTTTCTAATCTAGTGTTTTTTTTAAACAACTTTTCAATCATTTCTCTATGCAGACAAAAATCGCCTCTGGACATGTTTGACTATAACTCAAGTCTGAAATTGATTTGCAGATTAGCTGCTTGGATGCAATTATACAAACGCCGCAGGAAACAAACATTTGTGTACAACACAGGTTCATGAATCCACAATGTTAAATGGAGCCGTACAATTTTACTGGACTATTTTTGTCCCCACGTTTTTGGAAGCTAAACTGTTGTATTTCCGATAAAAAGTCCAGCTTGATTGGAACCAAGGGGAATTATTAGATATCCGTTTTGAGTTTTTCGCTTGTGTTTTTGTGCAACGATGAATCCGTCGCTCTTCTAATGGGAACCCAGGTTGTCTTCTCACGCTATCAGTTTTGCTGAGTGTTAATGTTTGCCAGGTTTGGCCATGACAAAGAAGTGAGAGTATCACCCCTCCTTGTTTACAACAGTCTTATGAAACCTTGTTTACACTCCCAGTGGATGAACACACACTTAGGCATCGGTTTATCGCATTCATTTCCTGTCCTCCTTCTCCCTGGCGGAACAATGACAAACGGACACTTAAAAAGATTAAGATGAAAGCACGGGGACCAACAGCCCAAGAGTTATACGGGCAGTAGCCATAAGTAACGTCACACAGATTAAACCGGTTGGTCCTGACAACTGGAGGAACTGGGAGAGAGTCAGATGGAGATTATTATTCTCATCAGGCTCCATGATCAATAGAAGTAATTAAATTCCGGACTCATATAACCTGATGTCTGTTCCATTGTTACAATAAATGTTTGCTCACACATGGGTGAGTGTCTGCAGGCGTGTTGGGGGGGCCCTGAGATGGAAATTTTAAATGAGCTCCGCATGAAAGTGTGAAAGAAAAAAACAGGGACCAACACTAACCAGGAAGAAATTAAGCAGAATGAAGAGCAATGACATAAAAGTAGGGAGAGAAATGTAGATGCGGTGCTAAGACACATCGTAGAGATTATTGGAAGGCAAGTCGATTTAGCTGAGCTTGCTGTTTCCTGGCGTCAGGCAAAAAAGGGAGAATGCATGCAAGTGGAGGCACTAATAAATGTGTTAAGCATCACATCTATGCATTTGGGTGTTTTCCACTGCCTTCATCCTGTTACATTTGTATCACTTTGCAGAGTTTACAAATCTTAAGTTACCACGGAAGGAAGTTAGTTTCCTCCACAGAGAGTACTGCTCTTTAACTGCCAGCTGTTTATTTCTGGACTTTAATTTAATGCAGAAGTAATTTAATGACCCCGAAGGGAATTTTAAGTGAATTTTGAATCAATTTAAGTCCAGGAAGAAAGGTCTGTTTTAAATACTACCAGACTTGTTAATATCAGCATCAGGCTGGTTTTCCTGATACATGAAGTGACATTTTTCACACACAATTTAAAAATATGAGCATGTGTTTAACATAAATTACATGTCAAGAGTTATGGAAGAAGTCTGCAGTATGGAGTAACTGGGTCTAATATTGATTGTTTCTCAGTTTTTTCCACATGCACAATTATTCTAGTAGATCTGTTAGTTAAATTTTCAGACTTTATTTTGGCATAACATACAAAAAAATATGTTTATTATTCAGCTTGTTAGTGAAATTATTTGAATAGAAATCTGTCATTAGTTTTTGCTGTACCTACGTCATGTAAACTTCTTTTTCTGCCTCTTTCAGATTGGTTGACTTCACCAGGTTACCCTCACCCACCCCAGAGAACAAGGACATCTTCTTCGTTACGAGAAACTCGGGCGTCCAGCCGTCCCCTGCACGCAGTTCCAGCTACTCCGAGACCAACGAGCCCGACCTGGGCATGGCCAACGGCAGCAAGAGTCTGTCCATGGTGGACCTCCAGGACCCCCGGAGTCTGGACAGCGGCACGGGTCTTAACTCCTCAGATGGTTTGGGTGAAATCCCGGCTTCCGGTGGAGGCTGGTCATCCAGAGGCCAACAGGGTAACGTCCCCGGGGGTCCCACCCTGAGGAGGCCCGGCCAGACCCCCACCACCCCCGGCGCCGAGAGCACCCCGGGCCGACCCGCCCAGCTGCTGGCCCCGCTATCCTTCCAGAACCCGGTGTACCAGATGGCGGCCTGTTTGCCCGTGTCCCCTCGCGGGATGACCGACTCGGGCTCGGAGTGCCACAGTTCGGTCAGTTCCCACAGCAACAACGAAGATGGCCCGCCGGGGGGGAAACTGGCCTATTCGAACCAAGGCGGCGGCGGCGGGGGGAGCAGCGGCGACGAGTACACCAGACGTTCGGGGGAGTTCAACCGGAGGCAGCTGTCCCTCACGGAGACGCTGCACCAGCCCGGCGTCCCCCGGCAGAACAGCGCCGGCCCCCAGCGGAGGATAGACCAGCCCCCCCCTCAGAGCGTCACCCGGGGCCGCACGCCCCCCAACCTGCTGGGCGGCGGGCCCTACCCCAGGCCCTCCTCGGGCAGCATGATGACCTCGTCGCCCGACTGTCCGTCCGGCGGGGCTCGGCTACGGCAGCAGTCGTCCTCCTCTAAAGGGGACAGCCCCGAGACCAAGCAGAGAGCCCAGCACAAGCAGGTACGAAACCCACACACACAGCTCTTAACGTTTCAGGAGCACATTCGTTGGAGCTTTTTTTTTCCAAGACAGACAGCTAGAGCCGTCTCGTTGCCATTACATGGAGTTTTAGTTGCAAAAAAAATCTAGTACAGAACGCCCAGTTATGCAAAGCATGTTGAAAAAAAAGGCTGTGTGGGTGCCCTGAAAAAAAAAAAAAAAAGCCCATCCCCATCGTGCGCTAACGAGCAACAGTCACAATGTGTGTAATGATAGTCATTTGCATACAGGCGGCCCTCGTCACAGAACCATTGTTTTACCCGGGCACGTTTAATGAGATGAGACCGAGGGTGGTAGAAGCACAATTAGGGTAGTATTAGCTAAATATATATGTGCTCAGGCAATGTGGATCCAAACAGATACAGCGAGCCGCCAGGCTTTGCTCGCTGCTGTGTGAACAAGCATTTCCTGAAGTGGCAGAATTCAATTTGAAATCTGCACAAGGTCACAGCAGGTAAGTCTGGATTCATTACCGCCAGGTCAGGAACACAGACTGGAATTAAAAAACACCACGTAGTTGTTTCCAGTGGTTACTAGCTCAAAGGAAAATATCTGAGTATTGTCTGAGTATATCTTTGCTCTCCTTCTTTAAAAGATGTTGAACTGGATGTGGGGGGTCTGACATATGACAGAGGAGAAGCAGATTATCTATGATACAGTCATGAGTTTGTAAATGTCTGAGTTATTGTTTCTGTTCGTTTTTTTTCTGTCTCGGTTTCAGTAAAAGCGTCTTTAGCTGTTAACAGAGACCTCGTCAAACCAGCTCTGCTCTAAAGCAGGTCTGTAAAAGTGCAACCCAGAGGTTTTAAAACTTTTACAGGCAGCAGAAATGCAGCTGTAAATATCATAAAGTAAATGCCTTGAGCTTGAGCAAGGGCCTAAAGAATACAGCACCCCTCCGATGGATCCAACTAAACAAAGTCGCCTTTCCGCCGATAGGTTTCAATAGGTAAAGCCACACTGTGCAGGCTTTGCTCATCGCTGCAGGATTCTTTATGTGCTTTTTTGCAGGTAATCTTTATCAGGACACAACTTAGACATGTGGACCAAAACCTCAGTTTTAAAATGAAATAAGAAGTCAGGATACTGTAAAAACCGTAAACACAAACATTTGAAAATAATGAATACATGAAATATATCATTCTCCACAGGAGACAGTATAACTACAAAAAGCAACGTCTTCACATTTTATTGACAGAGATTTGCTGTTTTATTCTGCTTTGTCACAATATTTTCAGATAATCAGACTCGGATAGTTGAATTTCTGAATAGCTAATCAAATGCAAATGACTGTCTTGGGCTATAAATAAATCCACTTTTTCCTCTCCTGAACTCTAACAGCCCACAGCCAATTCTCCACTCAGCTTCCATCAGAAAACTGGCAGAGAGTTCCAGGCTGATTTTAGTTCACACATTTGATTTTTCATGTTTACCCTCCTTTGCTGCCAGAAAGACATTCTCGTTTTTACTTCCTTTTTTCCATTCACACGTGTTTCAAAACATGCTTTAAGGTGTGTGGGCCACCGTGTGAGTTTGAAGTCAGGAGTGCATATACATTCCACCCAAACTGCTTTCGATCCAGATGACTTGGTGCATTTCAAGCTTATTTCTGTTTTTTTATTTTCTGTGGTGTTACTGCAACCTCCCTCCTCCCCCCTCCCTGTCACTTGCTCTCCGCTCATGAGTGTTTGTATGTGTGTGTGTGTGTGCGTGGTTGTGTGTGTGTGTGTGCGCGCTCGTTTTGTGTGTTGTGTTGGTTTTACTAGGCCCCCTCCCCAGTGAACCCCAGTGCGCTGGACCGCACAGCAGCCTGGCTTTTGAATATGAATGTGCAGTATTTAGACCATGAGGGGATGGAGCCCGAGTCACTGAGAAACAGAGAGGATCTGACTCAGGTGGAGAAGGTAACCTGCCATCCAACCTCTGACCTCTACCGAACCCCTTCTTTTTCACAAACCACCTCAAATTTCAACCCTAACACCCCCCCCGCTGAACTCTCCTTCTCTCCTCTAACACTCATCAATCACCTCATACAGTGCACCTCCCTCCTAAACCCCCCCTACACTTTATTATCTGCTGTATTGGTCCCACTTTGGACAAGTGTTTCAGTGTGAGATCTGTCAGACGCACCAAAAATTGTCACTCAGAGGTGCACTTTGCATGTTTCGGTGGCATGAAAGCGAGGTTAATAGCGTACCTCGCACTTCAGTCTGGTTGTGGATTTGGCCGCGTAAGCGGGACATTTTCGGCTAATTGAGTTTTAGTGATGGCGAGCCTGTGCGTCTGTGATGTTTTAATTTTTTTTTGTCGGTTTGTTTGTTTTGCAATTCCCACAGCCAAGCAGTGAGCAAAAGCAGTGAGTGTTTATTATAGGCAAATAACAGCGAAGCTAAATAGAAAGGGAAAAGCTGTCTGGGCGCCGGAAAAAGCCCGTATGAGCACTGAGACGTCGACAACTAAATGAATCTGACCATTATTTCCCTAGTTAGAGTGTCAATAGTTTGGCCCGTGGGAGGCCGGAAACTGCAGATAGATTCATTAGATGTAAATTCAACCAAATGTCCACAGACAAATATACACTTCTAGAATAAATTGATGTGTTTATGTCCACACATCGCAAAGGTTAAATTCTTCTCCCTCCATCTTACCTAAAAAGAAAAGCATTGCAAAGTTATCTGCGCGGTAGAACTTCACCTTCAAAAATCTTCTCCTCTGACTCCCCCTCTTTCTTACAATCTTTGGAAGTAGCTTAAAAGCCCAAACCGAGTGCATGTGTATGTGTGTGTATTCACTCGCCCTACATCCGCACGCCGATGTGCTGGAGCTTGCATCTGAGTGAGAGAGAGACAGAAAGATGCTTTTTGCTCGCTGCTTCCTCTGCTTCCTAACCTTTACCATTCAGTCAGCTTCTCTGCTTTGATTGGCCGCCAAACGCTCCCCAGCCCCCCAAACACGCATGCACACGTTTTCCTCATCCATAATGAGTACCAACCTGTCATCCCAACATAGCTCATTCTTATGGAAGCCAGCAGCCCGGGCGGTGAGCGCAACCAAAGAAGGCAATAACTTGAGTCTTAACAAAGAAGCCAGAGTCACCTTAAAATAGCAGGAAAGCAGAGCGGCTCATCCGCCACAGCAGCTCTGACACCAGTCTATATAGTTATGTATATCCATCCATTTGCACTTAAGAGACTTTTTACCAAAATATCCTGCTTAGTCTTCTAAAAATAAACATGTTAACGCAGATGTCAAATTTGCCTGAAACATTTGGCCTTTTTTTAAGGATTTTTAGAAAGTAGCACAAGACTGTCAGTATTCTCGTCATGTAAAGTAAGTTTGGATCTTATGTCTTATTCGAAAATCAGAAGAAAAGATATTTGTTTAAACGTATATATTTTTTTTCTTTTAAAAAAAAGCAAACTGTATGCAAAATTATAAGCATTAATAAGAATATCTGTGTTAAAGAACACAACTTCTGAATCCAAATGGTCTCAAATCCACCTCTTAATATGTTTGAATTCTAATCTTAAGTAGTACTTGAAATATAGCTAGCTGCTTGGTGAATTTCTGCCTCTTAACTGCGTTTTTCTTCTTAATAGCTAGCTTTTAAATGTCTTGAGTTGGCGGGGATGGAAATGTAACCTACCCAGACTGCTGTTGGATGGAACAGCAGGAAAACAGGTGCAGAGGCACATCTGCTCAAGCCAACATTGTTTTCCATCTCTCTTTTTCTGGGGGTCTTGCTTTCAATATTCATATGTGTTAATTTTACCGCCTCAGTCTGCTGAATTTTAAATATGTGTCTGTAAGGAACAGCAACTATCAATATGACGCTTTTAGGCCAAAAAAAAGAGCAAAATACTTCCATCCTCTTTGACTTCTGCAGTTTTCGACTGAGCAGGTAAGACAGTAGAGCGTAGGGGGACACGTAGTGGAGGAGGTGGTTCAGTGTAGGGAGACCATCGCTAAGCAAAGGCTGGGTCACTTATTCCCATGGGATATTCTGACAAGAGCGCTGTGATATTACAGATAGAGGAAAAAGTGCAATAGCCAATGAGATAAATCTGTTTGAGCTCACTATTTTCATGAAGACAGGGAGTGGATGAGAAAAAATGTCCCCAGGGAGGACGGGAGAATGACACTGGAATACATAAGAAAGATAAGTGATCCCAGCAGTGTCCTTGCTGTATTCCGCTGAATTCGATCTTTCAGGAGGCTCCCGTGGCTTATTTGTATAGGTTCGTGTGGGTTATGGATTATTTATTGCTGGGGGATGTTGCGTTTTGTTTTAAACAGATGAACAAACAGCATTTCAGACAGCTGACGCAAACTGAGCCCAGCTTATAAAACTTTAGATGTACATTAGCACAGTGGCATGTGGATTGTGAGCAGTTCTGTTTGATCCAAAATTAAACACCTCGCTGCAGGGGGGCTTGCTTTTTGGTTCGGTGCAGGCCTTTTTTTATGCAAAAGCTCAGTTCCTTTACATCAGGACCATTGATTAAATTCAATTCAAACTAAAATGTCGACTAATGCCTCCTGGAAACAGCTTCCCTGCCGCTGGTCAGCTGATCATTTCTTTGATTTCATGTCTGATATCCAAGATGCTTTTTTTTTAATTCTTTTTATGCAGAGCCATGTGGGAAGTCCTCATTCGAAACCGCAGGTACAGTTGATTCGATAGTGTGAACTTGATGTGATGCATAATGGTCTTGAAATAGTGTGCAAATCGTCTACATTTTGCATGTTGCTTAAACCACACGGGAACAGAGCATATGCAGTCTGGGGAAGTCAGAGTCAGCGCCTCCAGCTAAACTATACATAGGAACCTCCACTTGGATCCCTTATTCTCTGATTTTAGTGTTTTTCCATCAGATTATCCACCATCTTGATTCCATGATGGTGAAAAAAGTCAGCCAGAAAGCATGAGCTTTAGGAGTATACTGTATGCTTCACAAAGATGAAAGGTTTATAACCTGCCATTCCTAACCGATTAGTATATACAGTTATACATTTTGTTTTAAACATAAATTTTATGCCAGGTTAGATTGTACAGAAGATTTTAAAATGTTCTTCAAAATCTCCCAAAGCTAAGTCAAGCAGACAATCCAGTTCTGCTGTTCCTTTTTCTTTTAAAATGTTCTGATTTCTGCTGATCTGCTGTTCAAAAGCCTTTCGGGTGTCCAGTGAAGGGTTAGGGGGAGATTTTCGGGGCTTAGCTTGCAGACTTGGCTCACACTAATTGACAGCATCGCATCTCTGTCTTCTTCCTCCCGTTGTCGTTCATCCTAAACTTCTTTACTTTCTCTTTGTCTGCTCTTTTGAAGTTGAGCTACTCAACTTCAATTCTTTGCTCGAATTGAGAAGACCATCCTCTTGTTGACAGGAGTTTTGAAAGTCTACCATTTCTAGCATGAATTTGATTAGCTAGTAGCTACTACACAACTACTGCGGTCCTCAGACTGAGGCCATTCTCTCCTGTAGACATAATCTCAGTCTCATTTCTTTTTGTTCTTGTCAGAGGTGGAAATAAAGACGAGGAGCCTGCAGATAGGCCTAAAGATGATGATGATGATGATGATCATGCAAGCCACCATGAAAACACACGGTTGCGTGTCTTCTTCTTTGTTCAGTACCAGCAGGAGATCGTGCTGCTGCAGGAGAAGCTGCGGGCGTCGGTCCAGAAGCTGGAGGAGTATGAAGCCCGCCTCAAGGGCCAGGACGAGCAGGCCCAGAAGGTGCTGATGGAGTACCAGGCCAGGCTGGAGGAGTCCGAGGAGCGGCTGCGCAGGCAGCAGGACGACAAAGACCTCCAGATGAAGAGCATCATCAGCAGGTGGGAGGAGGGAAAAGGTTACATTGGTCTCACCGCGATTGAGTTTTCCACCTTCAACTGCAACCCGTGTCCATATCTCCAGGTTAATGTCAGTGGAAGAGGAGCTGAAGAAGGATCATTCGGACATGCAGGCCGTGGTGGACTCAAAGCAGAAGATAATAGACGCACAGGTCAGTTCGATCCGTCCAGTACGCCGACCGAATGGGAAGCTCCAATTGTCACAGGTTGGATCATTGTTTCAGATCTGTGCTCAACCCGTGGAAAGAAAAAATGAAACAGGATTACAAAGAGATGTTTAATTCATGGATGCATCGGCTCTAACACTGACAAGCATGAACAGAATTTCTAAACCAGAATTCATTCTATTTTTTACATTGATATGAAACTGTATGTATCCCTTTTTTGGAAACACTTTTCTTTTCTGATTTGAAGACATAAAGGTTTTTTTTTAGCCATATTTTTTTCCTATCACCCACACACTTTGCATGCATAGATACACAGTGATAATCATCAGTAAGGGTCAGTGTCAATGTATACACTCGGATGGGAGGAGGGAATGTTCTGTAACATAATATTTGCTCACATTTAAACACAAACACACATAGGTAATTAATCTCCCTCACAACCACAGTAATGAGAGTTTGTATCTGCAAACAGGGTTCAGTGAGGCAGGAAGTCGTCTCTGTCAATAAATAGGCAGAAAAAAGGGAAGAACAGTGGCAGTGTGAAGACAGGGAGGGGGGCTGTCTTCTACTGATCCTCACAGATTGCGCATAAACAATTTTTTTAACGTTATTTGGGTTCTTGCTGTTTCCAAACAGCTGTTTGTTAAAATCATAATCATAATGTCTAAATGTGAAATCACTTAAAGCTCACGTGTGTTCTGAAAATCAAGGAAAATTACACTCAAAGTAACCCTTTTTTCAGACTGAAGCTTGTTTTTAACGTGGAACTGAAACTATAGTTTTATAATGCAACATTTTTTTCTATTTTTTTTTTTATCCTTCAAGAGGAAACTGATATTTAAACCTTTAACTTGTAGTATTTACTTATCCCGGCAGTGACAAACTCCTGCCCATACGGTGTGTTTTAAATTCAGCAAACAGGAATTATTTATCATATCAAAGTTCACCATTAATGACAGCTGAACAAACCTAGTAAAAAAAAAACAATCTAAAAAACCTGTCCCAGGTTAGTAGGTGGTCTGCGTGGACTATTTGGCGCGTTTTTAGTGGAAAACTGATGTGGGTGTGTTTACGTCTATTTACAGGAGAAGCGCATAGCATCGCTGGATGCTGCCAACGCCCGTCTTATGAGCGCGCTCACCCAGCTCAAGGAGCGCTACAGCATGCAAACCCGCAACGGCATCTCCCCCACCAACCCCACCAAACTGCAGATCACCGAGAACGGAGAGTTCAGAAACAGCAGCAACTGCTAGACAGACTCGCATCTGCCCCATGTGAGTGTTGAATGCCCGTGTGTACAGTTTTCCAACCCGAGGATACCTCCTTGCATGCGTGGATGCATGCCGGTCGGAGAGAGGCTGCAAGACTGCGTGTGTGTACATGTTTTAGGAGGAGAGCGTGCTTTCGCAAGACATTTCCAGTTTATAAGGACGGCCGTTGGAGTAACGGAATAAGTCAGAAGGGCCAAACCAGAAGAGACGCAACGGAGAGATCACCAGACGGCCTTCATCGCTTCGTTACGAGGGTGACGGCCAGAAAGGGGCAGGGCAGAGCTTGTACATAAAAACTTGGAGATTCCAATCAGGCAGACGCTTTGCCAGAGGACACTTGCAGTCGTCGAAACAAATATGGCCCCTGCCTGTGCCTGGGAGGAACCACTACGTAAACCACACACGATGACGACCGCCAGATCCGGTCGCCTTAGCAACCCTCCCGTCCTCCTCTCTCTCTTTTTTATTCCTAAACCTCTTGACAACCAAGTGTGCGCATTTGAAAACCAACGAGAATGAAATGTGGATTTTTCACTTCAGTCGTCTCAGAATGATTAGTTTTCTAGCGCTTTGTTTTCAGAGTCAGTGTTTATTGAGAACCAAATATTTAGCTGGGAAATCAATCTTTCTAGTCCAAAACAATCCTCCTTGCTTCCCTTTTAACTTAACGCAGGTGTGTTGCAGAGCGTTACCCTTAACCTGCTGCTCCCCCCCACCGACCCCATGTAGTGCACTTTGTGACAAGCTATTGGTACATGGAAAGCCTTAACAATGGAACACACCTCGACTTTTCCCTGCAGCTCCTCCATGCAAAAAAAGGCACAACTTATACTGTGGATTTGTAAAGGATACAAAAAATAGATTGCAAATACTTATAAGATCTAAGATAAATGGATTCTATGTGATACTATATTAATGAAGTTTAATATAGATGTATGCATTTTTTTCTTCTATAGAGTATATACACACATATACCTATATTTGATAAACTCAAAAAATAAAAAAGTCAGCCCTTTATTTAGGAGTGAGATCTAGTTTTATTTTTCTCCTCTTGTGATGAAAAGACTGTAGTGTGTAGCTTGCTTTAGAGCCCTGGAGAGGGAGACCACAGCAGGCAGTGATCAGCACCCATGTCATCCTTCAAATGTCCACAATGATTTACACTTTTATCAAATGTAAACAGGGACATTTCTGTGTAAAGGTTCAAAGGAACCCTTGATAGTTTCACTTGCAAATTCAACTGGTCTTTTTCATCGGTGCTTTTCACTTTTTGCAAAGACGCAGATCATGAGTCACTGTGGATGTGTGGTTTTCTTTCTCTGGTTGCACAGAGGCTATGGAGAGACGTGTCTAAGTACACTCACTCATTCTATACACTGGACCGGCGAGCCATTGTTACATTGGCTCCCCTTAGTTTAATTTTCTCTTTAACTGCTTTATTTGTCCGTGGTAATGAAGTATGCTGCATCCAAACTGTGACTATTGATTCTCTTGCGATCACTTCTCTGTCCTCTATTCCGCTCTTTTTCTATTCCACATGCGTCATCCTTTTATCTTCCGAATGCGAAGATGGTAACTCACAGTTGATCCTGACATGGGGTTTAGTCTTCTAAAGTTTCCCTCACTATCGTCTCAGCATCTGTCTTGTATATTTTACTATTTTTGGTTTTCTTAACCTGTAAAAGAATATATCCATGAGGTGTGAGGCTCTGCATGCTTCATTTGCTTGACAGCCAGTGGTAGCATCAATATCACCATTTGATTTCTTTGGTTGCCAGTAGGACAGTCATGATGATGATGATGATTAAGACGAGAGGCTGCTTGCAGAATATGGTTTGAATATATGATAACTGAGTGCATCGAGAGGTAGGACAATTGGGGAAAGTGTAAATAAAATGCTCACACTATTTTTACCTAATGTTAACAGAGCTTTTTGTAAATGTATCTTGTGCTAAATATCTGCTGTATTATTATGGATATTGTAAATACGAAGTAGCCCAGTCAGTCATCTGTCCTCAATGGGTAGAATTATACAATTCAAATAACCTTTCAGTGTTCACTCTGTTAAAGTTTTTGTATTTATAGTGTAATATCACTATCCAAAACAAACAAAAAAATAGATAGTTTTGACTATTGGGATGTATTTTTTGCTGGTTTCAGGCCAAGCTGAGTCCGGTCGTGATGAGATTCAGAAGCACAATCCTGTATTTCTCATCAGTCTAGCTCTATGCACTTTTAGGTTCAGTGGTTGGTATTTAGCAGCCCCCCTTCTTTTGAAATAGCTCATTCATAAAACTCGGTATCACAGTTACATGTCATCTCCCTTCTCATTTCAAAGGAAAATATTTCCTTCAGATAAATGCATGACATTTCTCACCACATTATACCAAGATATCCTGTCCTAAACCTGCATTGTATGGCATTACAAACAGAAAACAGACTGTGTTCATTTTGACTGAAAAATAAAGAAGAGCTTTGTACATTTTTCATTTTATATTTGTCAACAGGCAATACTAATTTACTGGTCTCAAATCTCAACATAAACATTTTTCCATTTTCTGAATTTTGGTTTCGTTACTGGAGTTCATGGTTGCAACAGTGCAGAACGAAAGCTAAATGTTAAACGCTGCATAGCCTGATGCCAAATGTCTTGAAATTATATATAGCAATCAATACCTTTATATTTAAGGGTGCATGTAGAAAATTTGTTTTCTCAACAAACAAAAACAGATCCTGAACAGTTAACTTTGTAGCATTCTGCTAAATCTACTTAGCATGTAGCTAAATAGTTGGGGATTTTCAACTAAACTTGAACAAACAATTGATAATATGTTTATTGTAAAACATTTACTAGTTGCTAATGGTGTGGATGTTTTGGTTCTTATGAGAATTTAAATTTTGCTAAACAAGGCCGCTTAAAATGTATTGCTTAGCATTTTAGCATGCTAAGCTGGATGAAGGCCCGGTTAGCTACTATAACATTAAGGCAAGTCTACCAACATTGACTGATATGTCAATTTTACTGCAATTAAAATAAAATAATTTTGTTTGTAGCTGAACGTTTGTGGAATATATACAGACAGTTAAGGTTAAGAAGTATTTACTGACAGAAATAAATATTAAATCTGCTAAGGCTGTTGTGATGAGAAGCAGTTTAACATTTAGCTTTGGTTCTTGATCACCAAAACACACTGTTCATCTTTTTCCTTTTCAAGTGAGTGAACCTTTCACATATGCCTCTAACTACATCTGCCCTGATTTAAAAGTTATTCCATAGATTTCTGCATTTCATTATCCTGCAAGTTCTCGTTTTATAAATCAGAAAAAAGAGGTCATTCTTGATATAGTTTAACCACTCTGGCAAAAGGTTGAATTAAAATATAAAGCTATACTTAAAGTAAAAGATGTATGTTTTCTATTATCTTGTAGAAAATACTTTTGTAAGTATGTTGAAAGTATATTGTATTTGCTGGATTCTGCTTCCTTTGACGACCGTGACAAAACAATAATGTACAGAAGAATTTATGTTGACAAAATGTGGCTGTGCAATTTATGTACATTTGCAACTAGACCTATTAAAGTTTTATTTAGCTATTTTAATATCTTGTCACTGTGTGTCTTTATCGGAATGATTGCATGTGTGGATCTCTGAGATGCCTTGCCATTGGAAAATGCAAATGAAGCTAAAATTAAAACAAAAGCGTGCAGGATGAATCATCATTAAATACTAAAGGAGGCCTAAATCGATGACAACCAGCAAGAGAAAACATATGTTCAGGCTCCAAAGGCAGAATGAAGGCTATAATGGAGGGACGTGAAAGGCTGCTTTCAACGGTGTCTACTTCACACAGTGAGTCTGACCTACATATTCCCTACTTGTTATTCCCCACTGTGAGTTGGAAAAAAAAACAGACATCACCATAACAACAAAAATGGGGGTTTTGTAGAATAATATCTAGTAGTGGGAAGGCAAAAGAAACATATTACCCTTATTACTCATCAACTGGAAATGATCTTGAACAGTCTATGTTAGTTTTCAGTAAAAAGACCATGTACTGTTAATTACTCCCTGTGAGATGTACTTTGCTTATTTCTTGGGCCAATAGAAACATGTTCCCCATGGCATAGATTCCATGGGAAATAGATTCAAATGAAACGCTAATACAAGTATCACTCACAGATGGCAAGCTTTCCTTCCAAATATATCAATGTACACATAAACACTTTGATTATATTGTGCTCTACTTTCTGGATGCATCACTTTTCTTCCCAAATAAGTGAACTTCTGCATGTGTGAGGAAGCAAACTATTAACTCGTTCCATATTTCATAGCATTAATAAGACTAATAGTAGCAATGACAAACAAAGGGGCTTAAAATTTAATAAGGCTAAAAAATAAGTGGTTATGAGAAGGCTCCTTTGAGAACATCTTCATTTAAGCATAGGATCCTGGGTAAGACAGGACCTTTGTTTATGGTATGAATTGGCCCAAAATCTTGTGAGGGATATTAGCTAAGACATAATTCTGCCTGATTACAGACAGCAGCTGTTGGGCAACTAAATAAGCAACAACCACTGAGGACTACAAACACTGGCACGACTGTATCAGCCAGCACACCCGACCTAAACAACAGAAGGTCCAGGAAATGTTGGCAGATGGCTGTGCTGTGAAACATATCAAAGGTCTTAAAGCATATGATAAATTAGCCATTTCACATACATTGATCAGCCTTGTTGATTTTTGACAAGAAAAGGAAATAAAATGCAATTTCTTTTCTGTTAAATAAACTCAAACCACATCCTCAGAGACCAAATTTAATTTTTTTTGCAATACTGATTACATTTCATTCACAATCTGCTAATAACTGCATGTGTCTACTTGACATTAACATAACCCAATAAAGAAAATAAGTCAGCCCTAAATTAATATCATCAGTATGAATATTTTCGGTCAATCCACTGTATGGTTTTCACAGCTGCCCATACTGTAGGTAGTTCTTCTGATTGCATTAGGAACAATAGGTTTTTTTTTTTTTATTGGTGCAAAAAGTGTAGTGTAAATAAATAGAAAACAACTGGGATTTTTATATCTTGGCATCCACCACTCACCAGGTTTTTTTTGTAGCTGCCATCCATGTCATACAATGTGTACTTTAAAAAAAAAGCTTTCAAAATTATATGTAGGAAATGTCTATTTAAAATCTGGAATTTGGTGCCATGCATTTACTTCTGAAATAGTTCATTCCCTGTGGCAGTAACGTGGCTACAATGTAATCATCCTAAAAACATATTTACGGAAGGTCTAAGGCTGCCTGACAGGAATAGCTGTTGAACTGAAAGAGGATAAGTGAATACTTATTCACTTAACTCCTCACCAATGGGCTCCTGGAGGGTGCACAGCTGAGCCACTTGCTGTCAATAGGCTTTCACCACTGAGCTGCACAGAAATAAATAGACTGAACGTACACGCATACTTGCACACATGTGCACACAAATGCCCAGGTGGCATCTCTTCCACTTTTGTGCAAACTAATAGTTTCAAGATCTGCTGTGCTGTGCAAATTCGAAAAATAATGATACAGTGAAGAAACGCCCACTTGTTTACGTGTGATGTGTGTGAACTTACACCGACACGGAGCATCTAATGTTATCCCTGAAAAGAGCGTGTTTCAGTGCTAATGTTGCCGGACAAACGTGAAGGGGAGCAAATAGCTGCCCTCTAGAATAAGTTTGCCCATTAAAAGCAGACACGGCCTCATGAAAGGCGCGCACTGTTCATGCATCATCCCACCGGGAGGGGAGGACGGAGTCCACTGGTGTTCTTCCTCCATTTCCATCCCAACCCCCCCTGCAGACATCTTCCTCCCTGGAAGAAAAAAAGCAATCAGACTGAGAACAGTCATCCGAAGTCAGCCAGCAGGGGTCAAGCTAGTCGGTGTGAGGAGCTGCTGAGGAGGAATGGATCTCTTATCTCCCTGCTTCTGTGGAGAGAGAGATGTGGGCAGTGTTTGAGGATCGGAGGGCTCCTTCTTTCCCATCAGTTCTCCACGCTGGCTCTGACTGTGCGGGGCTTGAGTCTGGGATGCAGCCGGTAATCGTGGCTGGCTGCCCTTCGCTGAGGAGCCGGTGAGTTGAGCTGAGGGTTGGTGAGGCCCACCGTCTGAGTTTTGACGGCTCGTGGCAGCGCCCTGCTGCAGCTCAAAGAGCGTCTGTCCTCAAAGCTCTGCTGCGGCTCCAGCTGAGCCTCGCAGAGCTCCAGCAGAGACACGACCTGCTCCTTCAGCACCACAGATTTGAACTTGCGACCCGCTAAGTAGAAAAAGGCTTCCACGAACGCTTGGAGTCCCATTCCTGAAAGGCAGAACGTGGCAATGACTTGAAAGGAAGGCAAATTCAACCACAACTGCATCAAATATATCAATTAAACTCATCTTATATCACCGCACTCATCTTAAATTAAAATAATTACTTTGTATGTTTTAACCAATGTTTAAACATCTACACTATTTTAGTTTTTAATTACAATTGTTTTCGTGGTTAAAAAAAGATCCTGTTATGTGCATGAAATTTCTCAGGAAACATGACATTCACCAACATGTAACTTGTATTTTGAATATATTTAACTGACATAGCTTTTTCCTAACGTTCATTTTGGAGGTCACAGACAAATTATCCAGACTGGGATTTGTTTATATGATGTATGCATAATTAAGAAGATTTGAGCCAGAATTCTATCAGCATCTGTCAATTCCAACCAAATATTTGCCCGTCGTACACAGGGAGTTAAGCAGAGAGTGAGTGAATGACTGGAGTCACACTGCTCATCTTGAGCTCTGCATTACGACGTACATTTAGGCTTCTTTTACACCTCACATATCCTTACAGTTACATAACTGAAACAATAGTTTAAAAAAAGTAGGCTCAGGTGTATCTGAGGTGTTCATGTCTGAGTAACGTGATTGTTCATGTCACTGACTGTTTATCTCTGGTTTTGAAAGACTTATGTGAGGTGTGAACAAATGCATTGACCACTTGTGAATGGATAGCCCCCTTGGCCACATAAATACCAGCTCTGAGCAGGGATGAAGAGACAATATATCATAGGATGAGCATTCAAACGTGTTGGTGCAGCTGGTGTGAGTAGCAAAATGGCATTACAGTGCCAATTAATTAAATCTGATATTTTTTCTCTGTTCAGTCAAACAGACAGGCCACAAAAAGACCTGATGAAATGATGTCAGTTACACCGATGACATAAAGTTTCAAACAGCTTATTTTTTCAGATGTGAAAACACGTGCTGGTTGATGGCATGTCATAATTATGGAATGATTTGTTGGACTTTTCAATGACATCTGGCACACTGTGATATTTTTACCTTTTACCTGGGTTGGATCTGATATAGTGTACCAGTAGTGGTACAGTTTGACTGAAGCTTCTTAAAGATGATACATTTGAATCAGTATCTCTCAGGATTACAGCTTTCATTATGACAGCTTTATCGTTCCACAATCACGGGAAACATATTCAAATATATCGAACTTTGTTCAGAGGAAAATTACAGGTAAGAATACACTGTGGAAACACTTCCTAAAACATAAGCTTCTGCCTCCATGAGACGTTTGCCCTGCAGAGCCAGGTTAGACTTGTCCCGGCTCATTGAACAATTCATCTGTCTGCTTTCAAGCATAAAGCTGATGCGATTCTAATGTCATTTTAATTTCGTCATTTTCAGATCTTGCCTGAGGGCCCAAGGTCAGAGACCCAAGATCAGACATCAAATGAGCAAATTCATTGAGTGAATTGATGCCCCACAGACCACCTCTGTACTTTCTGCTCTTAGCTTCTTGCGTGACTTACATGCCTCCCTCTTGATTCTCCAAAAAATCCACAGTTGCCAAAGTGAAGTGACAGACCCTGACTTCAGTCTATCTGAATATAAATGAGCTTATTCTAAATTCAGCCCGGTCTCCTCGGAGCAGGACCCTCCATCCTGGCCCATGTGATCGCCAACCATCCGCTCCATCACAAACATTCCTTGTAAGGTGAAGTGTCTGAATAATTCATGTCCGACAGTCTCTTCACTGTCACACTGTGATCGCGGCTCATTTCAATTACTGGAGCGCGGTGTCAGAGCGAATCTGACAGAGAATGACAAGCAATTATGTGAGTGCACATTATTTGCTCAGAGTCTCAAGGATGCTCAGCTCTGCGTCCTCTACATGCCATTTGAGGGTTTTTTTCGCCCAATGCAGTGTGTGTGCGTGTGTTTACCTGCTTCTCTGGAGTCAGGAACCACCCCTGACCAGCGACGTGTGATATCGATGTACAGGATGTCCACTGAGGCCATGGTGAAGTTGCTGCTGCTCAGTTTACAAGTCCTGGAAACAATAAGACCACTTGAATATCCAGATGAAATCGGTCGCTGTCACTTATTTTTTGAGTAAAACCTTTTACAAGTGCTTCTATGCCAACTGGCCTTTTATTTAAACCATGTTTGTCCCCCTTTTAAGGCAGCAGGTTGAGATGCATTTAAAGGATACGACCACAATTTCCAATCAAGTTCTTATTTGATAAACTGGAACAATTTTTACACATTTGTGAGAATGTAGATGTTGATACAGAGAATGTTAGCTGCTGGCATGGCAGAATCTGAACAAACAATGAGAGGTTGTACCTGATGAAAGTTCGGAAGGCTGTGGGACCGAGGCGCATGTTGCCTTTGACCCCGAGGAAGCGTATGAAGAGGGCTGCGATTCGCTCCACCAGCCGCAGGTAGTTGAACTGCTTGGTGTACTTTGGGTAAACCTGCTTCAGACACAGAGATGGGAGATTGCCGACCTCGTCTGGACTCCCGGCTTGTGAATCTGGATCCAGTGGAACGTCTTCCATGTGTTCAAGCCCAACCCCCCTCGCTTGGGACGTTCTGATGCAGAATAACAAGTGGAAAAACAGCATGCCGTCATTTTGATGGTTTTCAATTAATTAGATTCATAGGCATGAACTAGTAGGCTGTGGAACTGAACATTAGCATCACTTTTTTGTGCTGCTCTGGGCTGAATTTTAAGCACAGTCAAAAGAACACAGTGCTGCAATGAAAAGAGAGGATCACAATTTGGCTTTGAGATGCAGTGAACAGCTTCTTTTTAGTAAGAATTTGGATGCTACAGGGAACTTGAAAGGTTTCTTACATCAAATCTGAGCAGCAACAAACACAACAGCTTCACAAGAGTCATGCATCCTTTTATTGGCACTGCAGTAACAAAAAGGTTGGTTTGAAATCTATTTTGATCCGTTATGTGCAATAAGCTTTAAAGGCAGTCGAAGAATTCGTTTTCTTACCAAAGAGCACTCAATTGCACACATTTTGATTAATTTGCTTTCTGACAAAATATTTGCTAAACAACAAACTGCAATCTTCTCGTTAAAGATTTCCTTTAATCACAAGTTGAGCTAAAAATCCAAAGTCTAAAGTTAAACCTAAAGTCAAAATGCAATTTACTCAGGTTTTAATGGCTGTGTTTTTTTATCCAAAAACCCGGAGTAAAAGTCTCTCACTGGAGTATGATTATTAAGTAACAGTTTAAAAAGTTCTTAAATTGATTCTACACATGTTTTCTTGTAGCGCATATAAGTCCTTGGCATTGAAACTTGCTGAAGTGCACTGAGGAGAACCACCATGTGAAAACTGAACCTTTAAATCCATCAAACCATTTATGATGGAAAATAAAAATGTGTTGCTTTGGTTTTGTTTCTGGGCTTGTGTGTGCACACCCACACACTGTGACTCTCCCTCATTCAGTTTAGCCTTGTGCAACCTGACAGCAAGAAGTGCAGCTTTAAGATTCCTGTAAATACTTTTGAAATTCCCTGGTCAGAGGAGGCCCAGCAGAAGCCTCATCAGCCAGAGGAAGTGAGCAACAAGAAAAACAAAGCAACACAACTCTGCCGACTTCTATGGGACAGGTTCTATCTCCATGAATTAGTAAGCAGTGTGAATGGGAGTTAGAGTGCTCTTCTGAATGTTTAATAGAATCAATCATCCCTTGGTATCCAGAAGGACATTTCATCACCTGTTCAGAGGCCGGCCTGTGCAATAAGCCGACAAATCTTCAACAGAAGCTTACAGGCACAACGCTGCAGCTTAGGAGGAGAAGAAAATGATGGAGGCAGAGCTGGAAGTGAATAAGTGAAAGATGGTGTGTTGATGAAAAGCCTGACAGAGGCCTGGGGTCAAATGTTAAAGACCCGTGAGGACAAACTCCAGCCAGTTTACTAACCTGGATAAATGGTGCTGCTGCCCTCGTGGTGAACAAATCTTTATTTGGACTATTACTATCTACTGAAAGAACCGGAAACAGAACGTCTTTGTGCATCATTACACCTCCCTCTTCTCCACCATTTCAAGCCACGCACAACTACAAGCTGCAGAACAGTTCAAATGAGCTTTTCAAATATTTCATTCCAAGCTAAAACGATGTTTCAACTTCAAAATAACACATTGAGCATAGTTCACCTCGCTTCTTTTTATACAGCTTTTTTTATACTTTGCAGGATATTTTGGGTGCTGGTGCATATGAATATAAGCTTGTCACCTCTGAAAAGGGCTCATAAATCACCCTCAGAGACAGCCTACATGGGATTAATGCTCTGGGTGTGAGCAGTGCTCGTCTGAAAGTCACTGGTACCGTCACACACTCAAATGATTCCCCTATTTATCTCTTCTTACTTCCTCTGGAAGTGTGACTTTCCCTTTCTTTGTTGTCACTTTGTATATACTCTTCATAGATTAACTTAATTTCTTTGAGAGAGCAGAATATTTTCTCTCTGCTAACTTTTCTCTGAACGTTGGATCAGTCCTTGTTGTAATTCCATTCCATTTTAACATATGCATTTCCAACACGGCGTGACTTAGGGTAAAACTCCGTGTTCTAAATGACTGAATCTTGTTCATCCCCTGCAGACCACCTGCCAGCAGAAAAGAAACAACCGCGTTTACCGGGGAGAGCCATCTGTAGGGTAAACACGCTGCTGAAGCTCACGTTGCATTTTCTTTCTGTTAAGGGAAATTTCAGAAACTCTATAGAACTTAGTAATTCTGTTTAATGAAAACTAAATAAAACCCAGCTCAATCCTTGCCTTATGGTCCTAAATGAGATTTCATAACTTCATTCAATGTAAATCTCCTTCATTTAGAACTAAATGTGCCAGCCTCCTTCACCAGCAGTCAAATCCGTCCAGTGCAGTAAGACTTCTGTATCCAGATCAATGAGCCCCGCCTTTAAAATTCTATGAGAACATCCTACTCGATCCATTTCTGCAGTCCAGGTTTAGTTTGTGCTATAATGAAAATGTGTTCTTTTCTTTTGAATCAATCTCCTCATACTTCACACACGCCTGTTTTCAACACCATCCAAAACGGTTTAACTGAGTTCCAGAAACTACGACAGTGATTTATCTCTTGAATGATACATTCATTTCAGCTGTCACACTGGTGTCCCTAGATTTCCAAAACCAGAGAAATAGGAATGAAAGAATATTGACTTGATTGATTTATGTGACAATCAATTTGGGTTGAGACTGCGAGGTCAGCCTCTCCTGAAATACTGACGTGTCATTGTTTTGAGGATGATCACGCACAGAGTTTGCACATTCTCCCCTCAGTCTGGTTATGTGCCTGTGTTTCATGAGATGGGCGCTCCGATGGAAAATATCTAATTTCATTTTGGCATCGAGGAGAAGCTAGCACGTTTCGACAGTCAGGAGGGAACATACCATGCCAGTTAGTCTGAAATATGAAATGTCATTAGAGGTTTTGAAGGCGAGCAGCAAGATTTTAAAATCAATATGAAATTTGAGGGGGTGTCGGTGGTAGGAGGTAAGCACAGAAGGGATGTGTTCAAGCTTTTTCGAGGTCAAGGTTATGAATCCAGCTTTAGATATTAGCACCATGTGAAAACAGTGAAAATAAACCCTGGCGAATACCACAATATAGTGAAAAACATTATCCAAGGCAAGAAACATGCATTTTATTCCAAGTCTAAAGCAAGAAGAGTTATTTCAGTTGTGCTAAGGTGTAAAAGCAATGTTTAACTTCAGCTTAAAAAGTGATAGAATAAAGTCTTACGCCCACATTCTTGGCAGCTGGGATGATGTTATTTGAAAGACGGCCAAGATTAAATCCAGCAGGACTGGAAAGATTTTAGGGACTAAGCAGAATAAGTTTCGACATATCATCATTATATTCAAGGAAATTTTGGGAGCGGATCCAGCCTCCCTGTGACCTTGAGCAAAATAAAACAACTTCAGAAAATGAAGGGACAGATGGGATCCAACAAGACAAGCACTCGATACTAACTACAAATTAACATGGATGAGACTTCTCGTTCAAACTTTTCTTTTGTCCTATTTTTTTTGTTTTTCTTTTTGTACCAACTGAGTAATTAAATCGGCTAAATTCTTCATTTAAAAATCACAAAGGCCAATAAACAAAAGATGAGGACTGCTTTATAGAAAGTGTTTTCGCTGTAGTGTGTTTTCTTCGTAAATAAGACAAAAGAAGTGCTTCTGCTGAAGTTTTGGAAAAGAAGGTTTTTTTGGGGGGGATTTGGTCAATGCTACTGCAAGGGAGGCAAACAAAAAGTGACGGAGAAGGCAGGAAAGGGTGTAAAAGAGTAAAAGAGAATGATGAGGGGAGAAGACAGTAGCTGCACAGAAACTGTAAATCAGCTTTTCATTAAAGTAAAACAGACTGAATGGGAAAAAACAAACCCTAAGTGGAGTGGAGACATAATGCCAGAGCCACATCGAGCAGCCAGTGAGATCCAGCCAACAGACTTGTAGGTAATGTGTGAGCTTGGACAACGCCTTGGCTAAATTTAATTTTTCCATTTAACAAGCTTAGAAAGAGCTGCTGAGTGGTGCAGGGATGAGGTCTGAGGAGGGGTGGGTAGAGTGAGATATTGTGTTCCGCAGAAAGCGGAGGCTGTCAGAACTATGACTGCAAACTCTGCAGGTGTGTGTGTGTGCTCACATTGTTGGTTTCTTGCACACAGGATCCATGAGGCGTAGAGTGTCCCTGATCACACCCACTTTGACCTCTTCATCCACTGGGCTGGGAACATATTCAAAAACCCCCGGTGCCACCTGAGACAAACATGGACTTAGTAAAAACAGAGGATAAGAATGATGATTCTGTGGTGATGCTGAGGCTCCCAGTCTCTTACTTCTTGCTCGTGTTCTATTCTCATACTGGGGTTGGAGTTTACCTCCAATAATACTGGCTTCAGGTTCTTCATCAGAAGGATGTCGAAACCTAAAATCTGAGATGCAGACAAATCATTTGTTAAATATGTTTACCAAAAATGCAAAAAAAGCACATGTTCACCACACCCGAGGCAAAAATGGTCAATTCTGTGACAGAATTCCAGGTGTTTCTGCAACAAAAATAACAATCAGGGCACTAACACATGTGCAAAAAAGACATTAAGTACCTCTAGTGTCATAAAAGCAAGTTTTTTGTTTCTTTTTAAATAGAGGAACTGGTATGTGGTAAAATCCTCTGACTCACTCATTTCTGATATAATGATGTGATAGGACGTACGACAGGGTTGTGAAAATTGACAGGGTTCACGATGCTGCTGTCATGTCTGTCTTTCTGCCAGTTTATTTGCTCTGTAGAGCTTGACATGGCTCCTGACAAAAATAGACTTGCGTGCATTTTCAGAGGAGCGGGGAGCCGCCTCTCAATGCTTCTGAAGCAAACAAATGGCTGCAAAGCGGCTGCCATCATCCAAATTCTCTGGTGTTTTTTCAGATAAGTGAATGATGATAAAGAACACAGTAATGGAAGAAAAGAGGGAATTTCTGTTTATCATCATGAACAATGAAGACATGCTGTTCAAACTGGGAAAAGGGAGTGCCTGAGTTCTGAATTTGAACCTAAACATGAACATAGTTGATGAATGCAGGCTAATCATGAATATTCATGGAGCCCTTTCACCACCTGAGGAACTCTTACGGATGACTGAGAGCAACAACAACAAAACCCTTTTCTAGATTTTTTTTTCATGGCTCTCCACTGAACACCCACCTGGAAGCAAGTAGGTCCTGGTTTTCCTGGTGGTATATCTGCTTGATAGTGGACTTTAAGTTCAGGCACTACAGCAATGACAGTCTTGATAACGAGCGCGATGATGTCTGACCACACCCTCTTGATGTCTACTCCTTTAGCGGCCAGCCTGTACAGCACACTGGAGAGGGTTCGCTTGCTACCTGTGCTCTGGCTGTCTGAGTGCACAAAGTTGCCACTGTGCACGTTGAGAGAGTAGTTTGTCAGGTGCATGAAGACGTGGCTCAGGTTCTTCTGGCTTGGCTCCTGCACGGTGACAATAAGAATCTCCTCACTTGTTTGCGTGATAAAAGGCATGAATTCATAGTTTACCTTCTCCAAGTAAACCAGAGGCTTTAAAAGCCCGGAACATTTCAAGCACCATCCCTGATACCTGGTAGGGTTCGGTGCAAAAGCGCGTCAGGCCTTCTTTGGCAATGTAGATCTCCAATGGCTCCATGGACTTTATCAGAACGTAGAGTCGGATGTCAAACTTGAGCTTGTCGATGAGTAACGGCTTTGGGATGTACTCCTGAACTACAGCCTGTTTGGCATGTGCACCCACCATGAGCTTCAGATCACTGGGGTCACGGATGAGGTAGATACCGTCCCCCTGAGAGCCCCCATCTGGCTTGACAATGAAAGTGGGGTTCACCGTGGCATCGTTCTCCTTTACCATCCGAATCTACAACAGAGGTAATAAAAGTTAACACAGGCCTAAAAACCTTTGTTTGGCACGGATCTTCATCTGAAGAGCTAAACAAAACAGAGAAGACTCAGTCATCCAACAAATTGATCCAAAGTGTGATTTCAAAATGAAAAATCTTCTGGGCCAACTATTCTAAGAACAGAGAACAAAATTCATGTCTACTTTGCTCATCTTGCACATTAACAGGTTTCCACCAACCTGCTGTAACTGATCATGTCGCTGTCATGTGCAAACAATGCTTTTGGAGGTTTTTTTTTCTTACCCATAACCAAATGCACGAATCCAGATTGGTTGAATTTGCTAACCTACAGATTGGATTAACAGAAGATGTTCAAATGAATAAAAGGTTTCTCGTAAAAGCTTTCAACTTGTATCTTACTTTGCATTTTAACCAACAGCAACGTTCCTGTTAGCACCTTACAAAGGAAACTATTTCTACTGTGGCTAAACCTCCTGCTCTCTCTGACTACAGAGCTATATTTAAGGTTTTCCCATCCATTTTGCCTTTTATTCAACACAACACTCCTGGTTAATTAACTTTCTATGAATTATAAGATCTAAAGTTAAACTGAACTTCCAAGTGCCTTAAGATAAGATGTGTTTTTATTTCAAGAATAAAGCTGACCTGAACTGAACCTTGGATTTTCTGAGGTGTGTTGATGGTGTCCTCATTTGTTATAAAGCCAGAAACAACCAGCTGTTACTGGAATGCAGTTACACTCTCACAGTTTGACACTGTCTGTAAAAAGAGCCTAAATGTTTTGAAAGGGGATGTTTTTTCAGCTGCTTTCACTACCGCCCGTGTATTCTATACAATCACGGTGCACTCAGCACGTCGATATGAAATGGACTGGCTACCAGACATGTTTCATCTTTCATTTTTTCAGTTTGATCTACAGGTAATGTTTTTGAGGTTGTAATGCCAAAACATAGATTTGAAAAAGTAACTCTTGCTTAGAGGGGACAGTTTTAACAGCAAGAAGTTAAAACAATGAAGTTCTGGTGCCCCCTGCAGGACAAAATATACTATTGCAATTTCCTCACTCAATAGTTGTTCTATTAATCTATTATCACTGGAAAAGCAGATATGTCAACTTAAGTTATGTAGAAAAGGTATTTTTTAAACAGGAAATATAACATCTCTTCAATAGTAATATGGCTCCTTTGCTCATAAAATGTATTTAAACACACCTTGTTGTTTTTTGTTTTTTTACTGATTTAATTAATCCTTTAACTAAACTCGATTTACTGATGAGGCCTAATCTAAACAACAGCCAAACAAAGGTACAATGTGTGGTGATCGTGGCTGTAAGGTCTGTCTGTAAGATTGTTTTATCCATGTCGTTGACTGACAAAGTTTTTAGGGGTACCCCACCTCTCACCACACTGTTTTCTTTTCCGATTAGAAAATGTTTTTTTGTTGTAAACAGGTGCACCTGTGTGGAAAACTGCTGGAACTCTTCAGGCAGGATCCAGGAACGGGGATAGAAGTTGTATTCCTCGGGGAAGAGCTCCTGCATGGTCCTGACTGCTCTGCTAAGGTTGATCTTCCGCAGCATTTCAACCATCCCTGTGAGGAAAACACGCACCTTTGAGATTACAACGAAAACACCGAAAATCACAAGTGAGGTTACTCTAGTAGAGAGGTGGATGCAATAAAATACCTGGGAATTTGTTGACCTGCCCTGAGACGATGTTTTCATTGTCGTGGAAAGAAACACCATGCCAGTAGATGTCACAGGCTGCTCGTCTCCCAATAGGAAACTGACCACAGCGAGGGGTTAAAAAGTACAGGCGGAGCAATATTAGATAATCAACTAAAACAGCCAATAAAAAAGATGACAATGCTGTTATGTTAGCATGACTCAGGACTCTAGAGGGGGTTCATCCTACGGCGCTTGCTGCCTTGTGGATTTTCTCTGTGCTGCAGTGCTGTTGTCATGAAAGTGATTTAGTGAGTGAGGCTCTTTTGAATACAAGGCACAGCTTTTGTCCTTGAAACTCCTTCTATCCACACTCAAACTAGGCATCCAACACCAAATACAGACACCAGACTAAAGCACGTGATGCAGCAGCTCCTAACAATGCAGCAACATCTGTTTCTCCATGTCAGCAGACTCCTTTATTTAGTTATCTGGTGGTTGTCTCACACAAAAATGTCTCCTGAAGTTCAATATAACCAACATATTTTGCATTGTGATCCGAAAAAAAGACGACAGCAGGGACATATATTGCTTTTCTGTATCTCTGCAGTCACTGACTTTCTCATAGATCAGCTGAAATAACACATTTGCTTCAAGAAATAAACATGATATTGTAAGAACTGTATAATAGCCTGATTCTGACCGGAGAACACCACGAGGACCAAACCAAACTGTGAAGGAAGGCCAACACTACACCACCTCCACCCCAAATAGGATATGGCCCATCCTGCTGCCTAGCTACTGGATAAACCTGTGACAGAGCTGCATCTCATTAATGTGCTAGCGTGGCCATGTGAAACCCTGCTCAATCACATAGACCTGCTATTAATACTCCCACACACATACCGCGCTAGTGTTTATAACAGTCTCATTGCTTCAGGGAGGAAAAATCATCGGTGGATTACACACGAATGAAGCCATTCCCTGTTTGTATGGGTGGGTACACAAAGCAATGACTGCCAAAGAAATGTTCCTGGTCCCTGTTTGAATTAGACATATCTCTTAATCAGTAACTACACTGAAAAAGAGCTCTGCGCATATTAAAAGTTGCATCTCAGCCATCCAGCCTCCAGTAAATAGCATTTGCAGTTAAAGATACTCAGGTTATCATTTGCCAAATGTGCTTGAAGGAATCCTGTAAGTATCAAGTGTTTTAAAATCCATTAATTCAAAATGCCAGCTTAGCCTCATGCATCCTTATCAGAACACAGAGCAAGTGACAAAATGCTGAAGTTATTAGTCACATTTTCTGAAGCTGTCACTCAGACCCTCTGGCAGTCGTTATCGCTGCCTGAGAGAGGACTAAAAGTATATTGGATTAGAAGAGCTTAAGGCTAATCATTTATCTGTGCAAGAGAAAGCCAAATGTGGAAAGTCATTTTACAGCTCACTCTTTCAGGCCAGAAGATACTGCAGATGTAGTGATGTGTCAGTTAAGAAGACAACTTTTTTCCCCTCAATCACACCCTAAAATGTCTACTTAAAGTTTCTAATCTTGTATAAAGTATCTGGTGTTGTAAACCTACTTAACTGCTGTTTGTTTTACATCTCATTAGAAGGATTTCCCTCCAGTCAATGCTCATCCTATAACAGGCCAACAAATAGAGGAAGGCTACTGGAGTTTCATACCCCTTCAGAGATGTTGACAAGCCCTTTCAGAATGACACAAGATCTATAGCCCCTTCGGCTCTGTAGGGGGTACAGCATGCAGACAGAGTGTGGTAATGTAGAGGCCTTTCGTCTATCGTTTTGATACCAGGCCTTGCGGGGTTCAAGTGTCACTACTGGGTCACTTGTAATAAGTAGAGTCTTTACTTCACCTGTATCACTGAACTGCCATTCTTTGCTTCTCATGCATAATGGAGAGGGTGTTAATAAAAGCCGATAACAGCTAGTCCCTCCAAGTTACCAAGTGGCCCTTACGGCCTGCAGCTGGCAGGATTGGGTGAACCGAAATGTCAGAGGTGACTTAAAAGCTTTTAGATGATTTTCATAAAGTCAATTTTATCTCCAACTAGCTATGATAGTTTCCCCCATGTAACATTTGCAAATTGAAACAGGAAAATTCTGTTTGAAATTAGAGAAACTGTAGTTAGTGAAAGGAAACTCGGCCAGTGTTGATACCTTAAAGCTGCAAATAATTGCTTCACTGAATCATTTAAGGATTAGCTTTCTGATCAAATGTACTTAAAACATCTGAGATTGTTTCTCTTGAACACGATAGGTCACATCTTCAAATGTTTTTTTGTTTCTGTACAACAGTCCAAAATCAAAAAGGATACATTTACACTATCTTGCACTTTTTGCTTTGAAAAACTCATTGAGAATTATGATCTCAAAAGGCTATTTACTCCGTATTCTTTGACAGATAACAAACACCCCATTTCTTTTGAAATGACATAATTTTTGCAAACTTCTGTGCAGTTTAAATGTGTCACCTATTGTTTCTTTCTGAATAAAGAGAATATATTGTTTCAATTTAAACACTCTTGCTTATTAGCTTATTGAGACTACAACCAAATTTGGGTTAAAATCAGATGCAGTGAAAACGTGAGGTGTCTGGATCTCGTCATGGACTGGTCACTGAAAAAATGTTGCCCTTTAATGAAGAACTAAGTTTTTCCTAGAAATAAAACTTGAATATGACCTTTAAAAGTGAAAATAAAAACTTTGATAAAGCACACCTCTTTCCAGTTTAGCTGCTTGATGCTTATCTTCAGTGCCTCCAGGGAGGTTTTGGCTTTTGATGTGTCCACCGTCACGGGTCTTCTCTTTCTCGATGGCTTCAGTCCGTCCTCACTGCGTGTCTCTTGTATTTTTTTGGATGCGGGGATGGTCACATAGTTGCCGTTAGGCTCCGACTTGCCTTGCAGTATCTTCCCTGTCCCTTTGATGAGGAGTGTTTGTGCGTATTCAGGACATTTCGAGATTTTCACGGCATGGTCGGGAACTGCAGAGCCCAGCGGTGACTTATCTGGGACCGGCTTGACACAAGGGCTTTTGTCAGCCTTTCCTGGCTTGCTGCGACTTTTACCTCTTTGTTTACACATGCCAGGGAAGCTGGATGCCTCTGCTGTAGTTGTAGTTGGAGTGATGCTGCTGGATGGGTCAGGTGAGGCAGAAACAGAGGGGGAAGACACAGGGATATGCTGCTCTGTGTCCGCATCCCCCTTGCCTGCATCGTCGCCCAGTGATCTCATTTTCTCCACCTGAATCTTGTCGTTCCCATAATGTTCACTCATCATGCCAAATGGGATGAGTGGGGCTGCTGGGCAGGGCACGTCTGGACCACGGAGTGCAATAATCCGACGCCGGCAAGCTAATGAGAAAGAATGTAGATCGCATTGCTGTCTTGAAAGGCAAGTTCATAAGCAAAAGCCATGTAATGCAGACATTATGATGTCCGGGCAGAGAGCGGGATGAACGTGGCTGTACTGGCCGCCCTAACCGTTATCTAGCAGCCCACCGTTTGACATTTAAAGAGCCGACGTAAGCTAACGTCCTCAACCTGCTGCTCATAGTATTTCGGCGAGCAACTTCAACTGTCCGGTTGCTCCCACCAGCTGGTGCTGACCCAACAAAGCTGCCGGACAGAGGCGACACTTGTAGGCAACGCTGCTAGCTACAACCGACGTTAGCCTGTTAAACTTCATTAAGCTTCCGCTGGTTTTGGAGCCGCTGGCGGAAAACGTAAGGTTAGCCTTAAAAAAAAAAAACTCGAAACGAACTTCACAATACCGGTTCCGTCGGATACTCGTCCGGCAGCGTTGTCATGATGCTCACAGTTGTGTGCCCCTGCGGTGTGCGTGTTATCTGTCGTCCCCGTGTTGTTAGGCGGCAGAAGGCAGACCAGCCCACGGCCCAGCCTCCATCTGGTTCGATTCAACACAGCTGATGATGCGTTTGCTGTTCCTCGTAAAGCCCTGCTTTACAGGAGCCTGCTGATACTACAACCTATTTCTCATTCAGTAAATATTAACCAAGGATAGGTTAAAATGATCAGTTTCACAGTTATCATATTGTCATTTTCTGAGGGTGTTTCTTATCTCGTTCCTACTTATGTAAACCACTTATTAAATAAATGCAAACAACCACAATAATACCACCTAAAGGAGACCAAGATATTTCTAAATGTATAGATGTAGTATCTAAAGATAAGATTTTGCATTCGATATTTGATCCAAGTGAAATCACCAGGTCATCTACCGGCACCTCGAGATGGGTTGCATAATTTCCGATGGTCCCCGAAGGTAGCATGGAAACGGCATGCACCAGTTGTTCTGCTCTAGTGTTTCAGCTACAGACACAAAGATACAAATATAGCAACACAAGTTAAATTAGATGAATTATACTCTGCTTTGTTTTTAAACTACTCTAAAGCTCCTGATTATGTTTATTTATTTGCTTTGCCACAACATGAGATGCACACATGGTGCACAATTAAGAATTTGCAAGATAAAATACTGTGTTGACATTTAGTTTAAAATGATGGCTTATCCTTGTATATTTTGGACAACTGTTTAATAGTACGACTAGAATATTTTTGGTTTACACTACATATTCAAATATTTTCAATAAGATTGCAATATTGTGTGATGATGTTTCATATATCATGAGCTTTCCTACATAAGGTCTGAAAACACTCTGCAACCCTAAATTTCTTTAAGTGGTATAAAGTCGAAGTATGGTTAGGATTTCACATTAGTATGATTTTTTTAATGGAGACATTAAATGACCTAAAGCCTGAATATGATACATGTGTATGCAAAAAAGTTGGAGACATTTATTGAAATAAGGGGGTGATATTAGTCATTTCCAAACAGAGAGAGCCCGCACATAACCACTGCAAAACAAAGCTTCCAGCACAGGAATCAAGTGAAGGGTTAAAATGAACCACATTATTCTGCACTGCTGAATGGCAGATTTAATGGGATTTCTTGTACGTGTCACTATGGTGTGAATTTATGAGCTTGATTCTAAATCCATTTGTCAGTGTTTTGTTGAGCTAAACTGATTACAGTCTTGCACCGACGCTTGTATATCCTCTCTTCTACACGCTCACAATGATGCATAACCTGCCAGCCCTCTTACTGAGAAACATTTAGAATGCCGTGTCAACTGAATGCTGACAAATCTCGGATATTCCAGAATCAAATGTTCTCATTGTGACAACGGAATTGAACAGTGCTTCTCCTTGAAGCAGATGCCATACACACTCCCACATCGCATGTGCAGGCGTTGTTTTGAGGAGACTAGTTATGATGTTTGCTAGTAATTCCACACCATATGGGGTAAAAAGTTTGCTGGAGTGTATGTCCAGAGCTTCACTCCTGGCACAGCCAGATAACATCCCAAGATTTTTGTCAACACATGTGAAGAAAATGTTAGAATCCAGGGATGATGACTCAAGAGATATCAAAGAAGTCGCCTTTGGGTATCAAGAGCAGTGGGGTAAGGCTTGGTGATATGACATTAAAACTTTCTCCGATTTTTTTTCTTCAATAAGTATGGAACGCCTATTGTGTTTTAATGAGTTTTTTTTTTTACCTTTTCAGAGAAAACCTTCTTGCTTGAGAAGTCCAAAGACGCTAAAACCCTAACACCATGTAAAAAGGACTCTCCCTCATCTGCATCCAGTGGGCCTGCAGCATCCTCTGCATCCATCAAGGTGTCTTGTCCAAGGCAGAACACTGGTGGTGAGTCTTCAGGAAGAAGAAAAAAGAGTAAAGAGAGGCCTATTAGTAAAGAAGATGGATCTCCCTCCTGTAATCCAACACCATGTCCACAGATGCCAAAAGTTAAGGCACAACGTAAAGCGTCAGTCAGAATTCCTGGTAAAAAAACTGAGAAAAATCAATCTCTATCATCTCAATGGCAAAACGTGCCACATATTCAACAGGCAGCTCCTTTACAAAGCCAGAAAAAGAAGCAGCAGTTGTCCAAACCGCCGGACAGTGCGTACGTGTGCGTCCTGACGGATTGCCCGTATCACAATAAACAGGGTGAGAGCAGAGCGGCTGATGGACTGTCGTGGTCAATCGAGGCCACAAAAGAGCCGAAAAAGACAGAGGATCTGGGGCTCCAGGGGTCAAACGGAGAGCAGAGATCGTTCACGGTGCCTGCGTCTTACAGACCCAAAGGTGGACACGTTGTGGATCCAGAATTACTGCAAAAGAGAGGCAGAGCAGCGGCCTATGGCAGAGAGGCTTTCAGTGGATCACGCGCTGCCTTGTTGTGCGCACTCTGCACAAATATCCCACAACTGTCTCATGAGTCCTCTATGCACACCTGCCGCCATGTGATTCCTTGTGCCAACATGATTCAATATAAGGGAGTGCGTGCACAGTCCAGTGGAGTTCAGCCTCTCTCCTCACAACCCGGTGTGAAGTGTCACAAAGCAGCAGTGAAAAGAAGCCTTTCAAATACCACGGCAAAAAGCCCCAAACCGCAGGCCGCTCACTAAATCTGATACCCCGTTCGGGGAAACCTGGATCATCTTTTTCATAATGGCATCTGATCTAACTTTTATTTTCCAGTAGTCACCCATAACTTCACCCACCCCGACTGGAGTGTGCTTGTTTAAAATAAAGTGTTGTGGCCTCAATCAATAAAGCCCCTCACTAACGCAACTGTGTAAAATGTGTTAGTTTCTCCTGGTTTCTATTCAGAATTCACATGTGAAGTTGATCAAAATTAGAGATGAGTATCATTCCATAACACAACAAATGCTTGAATGGTTTTTCCCTGCAAGTAAACTGTGAAATTATGCTGCTATACTGCGGTATTTCTTCATAGTGTGACAAGAGAAGCAGGATAAGCAGAGAATTTTTTTCCCTATTTGCATTTCAGCTAAATAATACAGGTGATTTCTCTTCAGAAGTGTTGGCTTCAGGTGGTGAGATCTCAGAGAAAAGTGAAAATGTGCGAATATTCTGGCCTTTCCATATATTCTTAGTATGTTGGGTCAAATTTGATTAATGCAAAGGGGAAAAAAAGATGTTCTACTAATACAGATGTGAACAAAACACCTCCCATCAAGATGGTTAGACAAAAAATATTCTAAAAAACACCAGTTTAATATGCTGGTTTCTTTATTTTAAAAACTAATTTACATACAGAATTTAACAAGTGAGGTTACAGGCAGTGTCCTGAGAATATCGTGTGCAAACGGATTAAATGTTATTCTCAAAGGGTTATGTAAGGTTTTAAGCCAGCCGCTTCTCACGTTTCACATTGTTAATTTAATAGTTCACATACTGTTATTCGTTTGTAACTGTAGAAGGAAAATGACATAAATAACCAATGGCAAAAAAAACTCTCATCTTCATGTAACAGTTTAAAAAGGAGAAGTTAGATCGTTTTTCCTCCCCTTTTTCAGGAGTACTGGGTGTTTGAGATTTTCTTCCACAGCAACGTCTTCAGATTGTTCAGAACTAGCGAGTGGTGGACCTCCATCTGGCTGGCCAGGCCGCTGAGGGTCACGCACGTGCGCAGCTGCTTCTCCAGGTCCCCGCGCAGGTCCGCGGGCGCCCCGAAGAGCAGGAAGTCCTGCAGCAGCACGCACACCTTGGCCAGGTTGGGCTGCACGACCTCGGTGTTGCACTGCTTGACCAGCCGGTCGCACGTGGCCGTGCAGTCCCGGCCGTAGGTGCAGTCGGCGTTGGTCTCGCAGCGCCGGCCCTTTAAGAAGGCCCGCACCGCCGCCTCCGAGGCCACGCCGCGCAGGTCGGCCATCTTGCAGTCGTACTTGGCGTTGTAGCCCACGCGGTGGGGGCTGGCGTCGCATATGAGGAAGCTCCCGTACGAGCCGTGGAAGACCTCCTCCACGAACTCCAGCAGGCCGATGGTGATGCGGGCCCGCCGGGGCCACGCCGGGGCCAGCCAGTGGTTCAGGCCGGAGCTCAGGGCCTCGGGGACCACCGCCCTCAGGTAGATGGGCACCTCCAGGGTGTAGAGGGAGCCGTGGCCCACGCGCTCCGTCACGTACAGGTCCCCGCAGAAGCCCAGCAGCTTGGGGGCGTGCTCCTTCTCGTGCAGGGCCACCATCAGGAGGAACTCGTTGATGTGGAGGAGAGCCCAGATGGACTTGGCCTCCGCCAGAGACACTTTGCCGTCCTGGTTGATGTCGGCCAGAGTGATGACCCTGTCCACCAAGGTGTTCAAGGATGGTTGTTCACCAAGGTTAGCCTGCAAGAATCAGAATCAGAATCAGAATCAGAATAAGGTTTATTGCCAAGTAGGTTTTTAGACTTACAAGGAATTTGCCTTGGTGTTTGGTGCACAACACAACGCTTCTATGAGATGCAAGAAATAAAATGTAGAAATAAAAATATAGGACAGAAATGATAAAACTGAAAAATACAATCTTTAAAAATATAGATCCGAATGTACAAATGAACAATTGAAATGTGCAATGTTGAGAAGAAGGTAAAAAGGCAAATTTGTCTAGTTATTGTGCTACAAATGTATCCAAATATTTAACTAAATTTAAAAGGTTAAGGTGTCCGTGTCAGGAAAAAGCACATACTTTGAATATTTGGTTTTGAGTTGGACAGTTTTCTGTATTGATGGTAGCAGCTGTTCCATAAATCGTTCTTTACCTTCAGGAAGCTGTGGAGCATCTCTTTAAATTCATCCATAGAGGTTCCACGCGTGGGCTTGTCAAACAAACTCATCTCCTGTCGCAGCACGGATTCTGGAGCTCTGCCTGAGCTCGCCTGCTCCTCAATGCCACATTTTACCACCACAGGCCTGTCTTTCCACAGTCCAATGTAAACCTGTATATGGAAAAACCACAATAAGAACATTTTTGAAGGTTTTTTTTAAGTGTTATTTGAATAGGCAACATAAGATCGAGGACGTAATGCAAATAACTATATAGAAACAGCACTTATGCAGGGTTTCTCTGTTTGTGCCTTTTATGATATCTTTAAGGATCTCTCACCTTGACTGGAATAAGGTCTATTTTGTAAAAACCTATTTGAAGGTTATGTTGACTTAAACTGCAAAAATCTTTCTTTGATAGTTTTCACTTTTCCAACAGCTGCATTCAATTCTTTAGTTTTCCTCATTTTATAATTTCTGAAAATATCTGGAGTTGTTTAATATAATTTGTTGCTTCTGTTTGTCTTGTTCTGATCATACTGAATCTCTGTGGAATAATTTTCCACATTTTTCAGTTATGTAGCTTCAATACGAACACATATAAAATAAACCAATAAAAAACAAACTGTGTACAATGTTCAGAGTCAGGGCTTCTGGGAAAGATGTACAAAGTTGAAGTGCATTAACGAGTATACACATGTTTATCTGAATGCAGGTTTGTGGGTTGCGGGCGCCCGTTTTACCTGATTTGTCGGGGAGGTAGACATGCAGTGGTGCAGGGTCAGTGTTTTCTGGTCACACAATGCCTTGCAGGACGAGCCTGATATTATTCCCCTCTTGTAGTGATCACACTGGATGAACGAGAAAAAGACGCACGTCAGCTACAGGAAACAGGAAGGTGCTCATCACATCTGAAGTCATATCTGTAGTTATACCTCCCAAGTCTGAAAAAAACATCAGAGGATTTCATGCTGTGCTTCATATTTCTGCCAACTAACCTAGCTATCGTCACGTTTCTCACCACATGCCCCTCTTTCCACATCTGACAGCCATTTTTTAAATTTTTTTTACAGACTGTGAAATACCACATGTGCAAACAGGCGGTGAGTATCAGGTGGTCTATTTTCTTTTTATGCATTTAGGGGTTTTGATCACTTTGTTGAGTCATTTTGTAGCAGAAAGGTGATGTGACTGTGAGGTTGGAACCAGAAAGTCTGGTAATCCATCTGCAGCATCACAAACTCTCAGATGTGCCACTTGAAATGAGACGCCATCTTTGAACATCATTCAACTTTCACTGCATTTTGATTACCGGTTAATTACTATGGTAATGGATGTTCCGTTCCTCTGAGTGTCATTAAACGTCAGTGCATGTCCTTTTCTCGATGACTGAGGGCTTTGGATACAGATGGGCGCAGCGGGGGAGCAGCTGAGCTCTGGGCTCCATCTTTCCCCCGAGCCCTCAGGTCATGTGCGGCACAGTCCGCCACAATCTGTCTCACTTTGATACCGTCAGTTGCAATATTTGGAACATTGTCACCTAACTTTGTTTTACACTTTCTCTCCTGTCTTGTACTTCTTGATCATCCGCAGCTGAACAAAAATGACCATCATCTGGTGGTTAACATAAACACATGGCTGATCATTTTATCTTTCAACTCAATGAGGATACATTTTGTTGATCCTTATAATATTCAGACATGTTGTGTAGGGATGAAAAGACAAGGGGTCAATCTTTTTCCCACTTCGTGTCTCTTTGGGCCTGAATGCATAATGAATTTTAATGAAATGATACGTACAATGACCATTAGGCAAACATGCCCGCGGCAGAGCTCAGCGTAGGAGGCATACTGCATGTAGACGATCCAGCTGACGATGAGGATGCCCAGCCAGGCCAGGAGGAGATACTTCACCTTGATGGCCGGGAGACGACTCTAGACAGTGGGTGGGCAGAATAGGACAAGTAACACCTGTTTATTAAAATAAACCCGTGCACACTGAGAGTGAAACTGGACTCTAAGAGCTGCAATGCAGCAGCAGAAGAGGCTTTTAAGTCTGTTACTTAAAAAGAGAATTCATGTAAACCTATTCAAGCACAGGTTATGCAGATTTCAGCGGAAGAACATTGTTGACAGACTTTTGTGTCAGGGTTCAAATCTGGAAGCTCCTCAGATGTTTCAATTTTTAAAAAGTACAGTTTTCCAGTTTCAAAATGGGGTCACATGATACTATGAGACTATGATTTCTCAAACCAAAATCAAGGGAAAACCCCTAAACAAAAAGTCCTCATGGAGTGTGAACCATCTGGTATGCAATTAGCTTCTTGAAACTGACAACTTCTTCACACATATACTGTATCAAGTGTAGAGAATATTTTCTGGCAGAACATACAACTGGAGACATTTAAAATAACAAACCCCACTGTCACAGCTGTGACTGGAGCAATTTCTAACATCCCACAGCTTGATCCTTTGTTGGGTAACCCAGCTAATACAACTAAAAACAAACATTGATCCATGAGGGATTTTACTGAAACAATAATCAACACAATAACACACGACACTCTGTCAGTTGTGACAACAATAGTTTTTTACAAATCTTAAATCAATGTCACCTGACTTTCAACTTTTTGGACATGAGGTGGGAAAAAATATAAAAACTAGGCAGAAGGCAAATATATCAATAACTGTAAAAATACAATACAAATAAAAACAACACTATGGTTTTCATGTAAAACTAGGGGACACATAGAAAACATGCACATGCTTATTTCACCCCATATCAAGACGAAAACCACGAATGAATCTAAGGATATATTATATTTAATAGAAGACTGGCACTTTATGATGCAAGTGATCGTCCATCATCAGTGCAAACACTTAGAAATGAATCTGGATGCTGGTTATTTGTCTTGGTGACCCCAATTGGGGCTACAACAGCGTGGCAGTCCACCTACCTGCAGGCCTTTGGACACAGGGCAGAACAGCATCAAATGGACCAGCCTCCGTAAAGCCCTGGGCATCATGAGGGGCAGTGTGTGTGTGTGTGTGTGTGTGTGAGGAGGCTGCGGAGCGAGAAAGCGGAGATCTCCTTGTCAGCTCACATCCTTCCAGCAACCTACGCCATGCGACGCAAAACGTCCAATCGTGATTCAAATGTAGGCTTTTTCTGAACCCCGACAGCGTTTTTTTTTGTTGCGGCTCAGCTTTGAATAGCCAGACAAAAAAAAAACGCATGAGCGCGTCCTTGAAGCGGACGGGCCAAAATAAAAAACAAAAAAAACCCTGAGCAGAATCAGTTGTCCTTCATATCTTCAGTTCCGGATGCGACCACAGACCAATCCGCCCACTGCAACAAAAATAAAATAAAGCATCGTCCCACTTATCCCACGACGATCCAAACACAGATGCGTGATGCGCACAGCCTCCGCGTCCCGGCGCATAAAGGGGGAGACGTCAGCTCCGAGCCGGATTTCTGTCCGCCGACAGAAAAAAACAAGCAGCTTCCTGTTATTTTGAAGTCAAGGAAATGCGCCAAAAACATTCTTTAAACGCGGCCGATCTTCACCAGCTGAAATGATACTCAATATACGGAGGTACATCTCACTCTGAGCCTAATCAGGACTTCCATATGAGGGCACAAACTGAGGCTGCTTTAAGGTATTTTAGTACAAGTGCCTCTCAATGTCAACTTCTCTTTTTTATTTAAATGGAAACAAACTGAGAAAAGTGACACCAGCAACAAAAAGTCAAAATTAGCCCATTTTACTGACTGAGGAGGTCACAATGATGGAAATCAAAAGGAAAACTCAATTAACCGGCACAAAGAGTGTCTGTTAAACACAATCCCACGGTGGCGGAGAGAGGAAAATGTTTAAATTGAGTCTTTATTAAACAGCTGAGATGAGAACGCATACCAGGCTTAAAATGATCACTATGAAAAGAGGAAATCGTGGACCGATTTGAATGCAATCGAATGTATTCACACAGAGAACAGCAGGAGGAAAGCCCCTGAACAACATCTGGAACTAAAACTGCAAATGACATAACATCAACTTTGGATTTTATAAGACACTCAGAGAACTCTTGCGTGTGGATGCGAGAGGGAAAACAAGGCAGAGGAAACCATAAAAGTCCCTGAGACATGTGGAAATAGGACGGTGGGAACAGGCCCTGAACGCAACGCTGGAGAGAACAGGAAGAAACAGCTTGACCGGCCGGGCTTGAAACTGCAGCTGCAGGTCTACGGGCCGTGTTCTTAGAAGAAGACAACAATAGCTTCATGGTATCCGTGACACAGGCCAAAGAAGGAAGGAGCCCCTCTGGGGGGGGGGGGCGATGCAAAGAAGCAGAGGACCAACCACAGCTGTCCACGGGGAAGCACGGACAGTGTAGAGGCCTCGTGTCTGTGGGACAAGGAAAATAAAGAAAATATACTTGAAGTTAGAATGAAATAAAAAAGGGTGGAGTGTGGCACTTTTTGTGCATCACGTTTGGAAAACAGAAAAACCAAATTCTTGAATGTTTGAGTTATTTTGAACAGCAGATCACATAAAAGAGTGACATTTGAACGATGAATGGGGTCAGTCTTTTAACATAAATGCCACCTTGCACTTGTGTTTATCGAGCGTTTGGTTGAGACTTCCGATGCAAAATGTGCCCTTTGGTCCATGTGTCCTTATCAATGCGCAGCAGCAGTTTCCTTAAAACGACCGGCCCCTGAGGCCAGATGCCTCAGAACCTGTGGGAAATACAACAGACAAATCACTACCAACACATTCGACAGTTTTCAGTGTTGCACTTTTGTGAACCAAAACAGACTGACATGAATTCTTACCTACCCTAGGAGCACGCCTGCTACTCCAGGTGGTCCATTCGCTGTCAAAAACATCTTTAAATGTTTAATCATAATCATAATTTTGAATATATTAAGCAAAATACGCGACATTTACTTAGGAAATGAATTCAGAGTGATTGTGCAGGGATTATCTGGCCCGGTTCCATACTCAAAGCCCACAAAGCGGTGGAAATTGAGCTATCGTGAGCCCGTCACTTTCTGCCCATTCGATGCGCAGCAAAGACATGGGAGCCCAGGCTGCGTCTCAAGGGGCAACGCTAATTCCAAAAGCCCATTTCTAAAGTTTAACAACCCCAAGCAAAAAACAAACAAACACCTTACCACTCTCTAAATGCAGCCATGTGATGTTGGGGGGGATGGAGGGGCTCTGGGCACTCATCTTCCTACAGAAACAAAACAGATGCTTGTGAGTCCTTATTCAGACATTTTTGATTTCCACACCACAGACGGAGGCCCACTCGTTCTTAAACACCTGCTCTCTGTAGGGCAGAAGGCTGAAAATGAACAGTGTGGCCTTTGACCGTCTACTTGACAGCCACCAAACCAGGGTCACTGTAGGGGCACGCAACATGGAAGTGCACCCTCAGCAGCCGCTTCACACCTCCCTCCCTTCCTCTCCTCACTTTGCATCGCTCCACGGGCCGTCGGCCGCGTGATGACTCACTGTACGCCTGCACCGCTGCACACTGTGACATGTCGGTGACTCCATATTTATGTTTACAGCATATTGAATCTTTTACAGAAGAACCAGAAAGCGTACCCCTATTAAAAAAACAAAACAAACACACACAAAAAAAACAGACTTATCCACCATGTCATCACCACTACACAGACTATTATATAAGGACATAGCTGCTAACCAGTCTGCATGCATTAAAGTATAATGATGCATTCAATGTTGCACTGAATTATGTTTCATTTTAGCCTACAAATAAAGAGAATAACTTTGTTGGATGGTGCCACCAGAAGGCAGAACACGCCAGAAAAGCCAGTAACGTGTAGATTCTTTACATTTAAAGGATGTTTTAGCTCCAATGTGAGGCCTAGCAGGCGTCAGGGTGCGCTTTCAGTCTCCTAAAGGCAACCGGTTGCACGAACTGAAAGATTTGACGGTGCCATGGCCTGAGGTGAAAGGATACGTGCAAATGAGGGCAGTGACCTATAAATAACCTGTGGCGTAGTCACGTGACCGGCAGGATGTGCTTGTAGAGACTAAAAACGTCTAAACTGTGGTTCCATTTTTTATTCTTAGTAAACCTACAAAAAAACGTGTTTATTTTTGTTGTTGTTTGCTAATACAGTCTTAAGCAAGCTGGTGTCGCTAACTCGGACTCACCGTGCTTTGCTGGGAGAACATTTTCCCCTGGTGGTCACACAGAGTCCGGACAGCAGAACGGAGGAGACTACGGAAGCCGAGAGATACCAAATTACAAAAAAAGAAAACCTTACGACGTTCACCTTTTTGTCCATTTGTACTGCAACTGTGTCCTGAACATGTCTGATGCTTGTTCTGTCACACAAAACCTCTGCACAGAACACTGTGGAAGTTTTTAAAGGCAATGTAGCTTTTAAAAATGAATATTTTATCTTTATTTTCTATCAGCTACATGTGCACAGCATTTCAATATATCTCAGATTAGATCATGTTCCAGTTGTGTCTTATCCTTAGTGTATAGGTTTACATACCTTTACAACCATTTGGGTTATCCTTTGCATATGGCATGCTCTGTGCTGGATTCACGTGCTCTGTGATAAAGGTTTTCTACTTTTTTCATTTATCAGTTTAACAGGCTCATCTTCATTCAGAGGAGAACTTGGCCTAACTACAGCTTGCTTGGAAATCATTTAGTGGCTCCAGACAATAAACAGTGAAAGATTGCCTTGAAATATATTTTTTAGTTTACATGAGCTGTAAGAAGCAACATCTGAGAAATCTGTCATAGGCTGGGCAGCAATAAGTACAAGAAAACCTTCAGCATAGACACAAAACATTAGCCTGGTTGCATCAAACTGATGGCTAGGAACTGCAGATACAAAGTGAAGTAAAGCAGACTTAATTTTCCACTTATATTTTTAATAGTCTCTTATAGAAGAACACAGTGCATCATGAGTTTGACGAGGAGGACGCTGCCAGGCCATGCAGGAGCTCCATCTGCTTCCTTTTGTCCTTGGCCCGGTTGATGGTCATCTTGAACAGGCGGCAGTACATCTCCATGGACGCCGGGGTGTCGTCGTTCCCCGGGACCGGGTAGGTCACCAGGCTGGGGTTGCAGTTCGAGTCCACCACGCCCACCGTGGGAATGTTCATCTTGGCCGCGTCGCGGATCCCCACGTGCTGCTGGAACACGTTGTTGAGGGTGGAGAAGAAGACGATGAGGTCGGGCAGGCGGACCCCGGCGCCGTACTGGATGTTGCCGTTGGTGAGGAGGCCGCCCTGCCAGTAGCGCGTGTGCGCGTACTCGCCGCAGTCCCTCGCCGTGGTTTCCACCAGGTGGCAGAACTGACGCCGCCGGCTGACGAAGAGTATGACGCCGCCGCGGTAGGCGACGTGGGCGGTGAAGTTCAGGGCCTGCTGAAGGTGTTCCACAGTCTGGTCCAGGTCGATGATGTCGTGTTCCAGACGGCAGCCGTAGAGGTAAGGCTCCATGAGCCTGCAAAGACAATTACCATTCAAATATGAAAACCTGTCAGTGGGATGTTGCTACCAACTCTCCTCATGAAGAAGACAGAAAAAGGACATCTAAGATGCATGTACAGTGCTTTGTTTTGCCTTCCAAACACAAAGTTCCTGAACCACAGATCAGGTTTCATCTCTTGATGCTGTGATTTCCAAGAAATGGAAATGGAAGAAATGGAAATTGTGGTCGCACACATTTCAACGCATGCAGACACAAATATTGCCCTGCTCATAAACAAATGACCCAAGTCAAAGTGGAAAAAGAAACTCCATCAGTCTGCAGGCAAATGTGTTTTGTCTCCCAAATCAGATTCTTAGTTAAGACGAGGGGGACGTTATTTGCAAGTGATCCGATTACATTTGTGTTTCGGGAGGGCGCAAGATGTTGACTCCCGTATCCTTGTCGTTACACAACCTTTCATTGCTTGGTTTTTCCCAGCATCCCCAAAATTCAACCGAGAACCGTGTCAGATCAGCACAGTTTTCACTCTGCTCTGCCCCGACTTCACATCTAACGAAGGGGGAGCCCATCTAGTGTTCAAAAAGCCACATCTCAGACTGCTCTATGCCTGGATAATAAGCATGTCATCTCCATTCAGAACTCAAACATTACTTTGACTTTCTTCTGAATTTTCTGACAGACCATTTTAACTCCTTTTGGTCTGACACAGAGCATGTTTGAGCAGAAACATAAAAGAAAAATCACAATCTATGACTTCTGTCAGGATGTGTGTCAGAGATGAATATGAGTGACATATTCAACGGCACGCAGGTTTTATTCAGAATGTGAAACGCGGCTTTAACATAATGTTGATTGATCCATTACTTATGAATAACATCTGCATGGTGAGCGGTGGAATGCCACACCAACCTGTGCCTGCAGCCTTTTTTGTGACCAAGATGCACTCTGGCGTCGAATAAATCCTTCAACGAGAACAGCTCCGACACACGAAAGAAGTCAGGCTTTTCAAGAGGCAGGTTTAGGATTTTCTCTGCAAGAGGAAGAGGCAGTGTCAACGTCAGTATGCCGTCAACAGCTATTCTGACACTCCGCAACTCACCTGTAACATCGCTAGTTTGTGGTTGATCCGTCTTAACGAACGCAGCCGTGCTAAAATGGTGTCCTCCACAGGAGTATTTAACTGTGACACCCCGACAGTGTCGGAACCCCAAAAGACCTGAAAACGAGACATAAGACGGGATAAAAAAAACAGAAACATGCAAACACCGCTAGCCACTGACGTAGCTTTAGCAAGCTAATATGCATCTTCTGCAAACGGTGACATTACAAAATAATACATTATAAAACTTCATCCAAACAAAATACTTTCCCAACAACCCTGTTATCGATATTTTGGATATTCAAGCAAAAGTTTGTATACGAACCTTTTGTAATGGCCCGAGAAGCCATGCTTACGACCAACGGAAGGTCAGCAAAGTGCGCCTGCGCATTCGTAGTCGACGGTATGTCGCAAAGTGTCGTGAAATCTTTCTACACTGGACTACAAAGCCCACACAACCGTCTTTTTCACAGTGCAACTTTATTGAAAAACCACAAAAGAGCCTAGAAAGACTGTTGTAATTTAACTACAAATGGTGTAAATGAAAATCAACATCTTCAAGTGTTGTACCTTTCTATTTTTTAAAACAGTACACAAATAAAAAATACAAAAATAATGATCATAACAGGGTAACTGCCGTGCTAAAACTTAAGGGGTTTGTGATTAAAGGCAATTAAAACCCATCATTGTATAAATGAACAAGAAAACTTAAACTTTCTGCTCAAGAAGCATTTCACATTTGCCTAAAACCTAAATGAAAACAGTGCACTTTTTGTCAACATATGTGCTATGAATGGTAACTGAAAACAGTCTAGTGACTTAAATAAACTTCAACTCAACTCTAAACTTCAGCAACATGAATAATCAGATGTTAAATCTAATGCTTCTTTGTTGCGGTGGTTGTTGCAGCTCCTTTGTTCTGCAAAAGAGAAAAACTACTTGGAATTGAGTTTTTTTTTCTAATCATTTGATTGTTATTGCTCACAGTGGTGACCGTGCAATCACATACCTGCTCAGCGGAACAAACTGAAGCTTTCTTTTGACGTGTTGAGTGGACGTGTTCCATTTAGAAGCGCCGACAAGAGAAGCGTTATCCTGCAAGCATGACCAAAAAACGTCTCCTTCTCACTGAGTCTGAACACCGATCACGCTCAACTTTTTCCTGAATTTCCATAACTGTACCTTCATGCATTTTTTAACCAGGTACCTCCTGCTGGACATCTTGCTTCTTTCCTCTGTGGTGAGAGCAATGCACGGACTGAAGGTGAAGCCAGGATCGATGGCTCTGGACAAAGACCTGAGTGAGGCAACGCAGCACATGAATCAGATCACTTATGGTGACTATTCAACATATTTGTAACCTTTAAGCCTGTAAACATAAATATTCTTTGGCACTGTTACCACATAAAGGTGCGTTTCTAATGAGGACACTTATTGTTGCTCAGATTCCACTCTTTATTACACACTGAAAAGACACAGCTTTTTTTTTTTCAATTGAAAGTTTAAAAGAAAAAAAAACACTTCTTATAAAATATTTACAAAAATCCTGGCAATGCACAGCATGTTCAGTGATGTTTTTTTTTCTATAAAACAAAAATAAATAGCCTTTTCTCACATAGGAAATTCAAGAAAAACCTTTAACGCGACAAAGAAATGAACACACTAAATACTACGACAGAGAGGGGTAATTTTCTGTGGAATCTTAACAACACGTTGCCATAGAGGTTACAAGTCTGAGACTGCTATAGTGGCTTTCATTAACAGCTGGGTTGTGAACATCCACCTATGAATACAAACTTTACCGTGAGCAATGATCACACGAGCCAGTAATATCAAATAATTTGCTGTTATGCTGAGTCATGGGTGAACTCCGCCTTTAACATGGTTATTGGCTGGTTTTGTTGCATGTGGAAATGTTAAAAAAGGGTTAGCGCTGTCCTTTCAGGGTAATTTCTGGATAAATCAGAGGCAAAGGGATGTAGCATTACTAGAAAATGATGCAAAATGTATAAAAGAATGAAGGTACTTTATTTGTGATTTCTGATTAAAGAAACAATCCACAGTGCAAAGTTGAGGTCTGGCTTTTGACTCTGAATTCAGTCACCAGAAGACTTTGAGTGTATTTCATGGCCATATTGAATTACATATGTATAGTTTTAATAAATTATGCTGTTTGGTAAACTCAGATACAAACATTTATATATTTATATTGATCAGTTCCTTATTTAATTCATCAAAGTGCAGATATTGGATATTCTGTTGTCGAAACCCCAGAAAAATGTAAAGAAAAGCAAGAGAAATGTGCCTTTTTTTTAATAACAAACGCCTTTTTTTATCAGCAATTTTACATGAAAGATGAAGGACTGTCCTCTAATGTGAGAAATATACTATTCACATCCTAACATTACACTAGCCTTCAGTTCCCAGTAGTAAAAGTAAAAAAGAATCATCCCAAATTTCTGTATTTTCGATTAAACTTAAATCTTTATTTTGCCACTATGAGGTTCCTTTTTGTTGTCGTTTCTTAAAAGAAAAGAAAATGAAAAACAAAAAAACAACAAAACATTATGAGATTTTTCAATACAAAGAAGTAGATTTTTTTTTCTTGGTGGTTACCACTCAGGCCTCCAGTACCAAAGCTCCACTGTATTGCTTTCCAAAGTACAAATGACACACGAACTTAAGAGCACTCAAAACAAGAAAAAACAAGTTTCAGTTTGGCGCAGAATTGTTAACATATATTACGAAAAGCAGATTTGTCTTATTATATTAACAAATATTCCCTTAGAGCCTGTACATGAATGAACTTGAGAAAAAAACAACAACAAGTTTAATAATAAGCAGCGCAGAACCAAGAAATGATCTAATAAAATTATGATTCTGGAAGAATTATAATCAAAGCAAGTACTTACAATGTGGAAAAGCCCTGCTTCTTTCCTGGATCTCTCCTGCTGCCTGATTCACAATCTGACTCATCTATAAATTCTTCCTCCTTCCTGACTTGATGCACATTTTTATCATCTATCTTCATGCTCTCGCCTTCTCTTTTTATGTCACTTAGCAACTCCCCTCTCTCCTTTCCCTCTTGCTTTTCCCTGCTTTGAACCTGGACGTGGTTGGTCATATTAGATTCCAATTCGACGAACACACTCTTGTCCTTGGGCATTTGCACCATTCTGGCCCTCTCCTCTTCCAGGGAGAACTGGGACCTGGGACCTTGCGTAAGGCTCTGTGCAAAGGACATCTTTGAATGCTGCCTGCTAGCAGACATAAAATTCAAAACGGGGGGTCTGGCGGTGGTATTCACTGCTGTCTCCGCCAAACCTGAGAGTGGCGATCTGGTGGTCCTGGGGGAGAACCAGGCCGCGGCCTGAGTCTGGGCCTTTAGATCTTTATACTGCGGCAGAGGGGCCGGCGGGCTCTCTTTGACTTCTGACGTGGTGATGTGAAACGGAGTCCGACTCAGAGTCCTGGGCTCGGAAATGGGGAGCCCAAAACTCTGGCGCCACTTGATGGACTCTGCGCGGGAGTGAGCGAGGCTGGGACTGGGGACCGCTCGCTCCCTGGCGACCTGGTCCCCCGCGCCGCTGACCTCCTCCCTCCCGCCGTCCGGCCTCCTCTGCTCAGTCCTGGCTGCCCCGGCCCCGTCCGCCGGCTCCAGGAGGCCGGCGCCGCAGGACTGGGCCGCGGACACACAGGACTGCGCGCTGACGGGGCAGATGTCCGGCGGCCTCTGAGGGGCTCTGTCCTGCAACGGGCAGCCCAGGGCTCCGGGGAAAGCGCCGCCGCTTTTCCTGGGGATCTCAGCCAGCTGAGGTTCCCGCTTCGCCTCGGCCGCGCCGTTCCTCTGCGCGTCCGCGTCTTTAGGTTTCTCTGCGCTGGACACTTTGGCCTTCTCGGCCAAAAACCTCTGGATCTCCTGCTCGATGCCGTCGTCGCTGTCCCCTGAGCTGCTGTCCTCCCTCCTCTCGGGAAAAGGAGCGCCGGCGGCGTGCTGCGGCCGGTCGTCTCCACCTTCCGCCCCCTCCAGAGTCTCCGTTTCACCTTCATGTGCCGAGTGCTCCCAGCTTCCATCCGTTTGCTTTAGCAGAAAAAGAGTCTTTGTCATCCCTCCAGACTTGTCTTTCATGTCCTCCTTACTCTTATGTACTTTCTTTAAAGCGCTGGTCTTGGGAGCAGGCTCGGGTTTGAACTTTGTGTCACTTCCTGACATCGGCTCTTCCTCTTTGATGCTCTTCCTTGATTTCCGCTTCAAGTCTCTGATCTTTTTCTTTGACTTCCTCTTTGTCTTGAGCAGGTCTTTTATGGCAGTGTCGAGATCCTCGTCGCTGTCGAGCGAGCTGCTTTTGTCTCCACTTTGGTCCTTCTTGTGTGACGCCGTGTGCGTTTGATGCCTCTGGGGAAATGCGGCGGGGTTTGTAGGCTCGAGCGAAGCCTTTAGGGAGGTTTCTTTACCTGTGTCGTTTGCTCCCAACACGTTGGAGACAATGCAGTTATTCTCCCTGCTTTTCCTCCTCTGTGTCAGAGACAACCTCAGTGGTTTATTTTGGACGGCCACTTCTCTGACTGGTTCGTGTGTCTGGTGGGGCTCCTCTGAGGTGGTGGGCTTCATGTGCATTTGGGCCTTCTGCTCCAGAAACTTCCTGATTTCCTGCTCGATCCCGTCCTCGCTGTCAATAGAGCTGTCGTCGCTGTCCTCACAAAGGCAGCTTTCAGGAACCGAGGAGCGCGAGGAGGAGCTGGTGGGGGCGCACGTTTCGATGCCGACGGTGTGATGGAACACCTCGGGCATCACGGTTTTGGAGATGTCCAGTATTGCTTCAGCACACATCAGCTCAGCAGTCGTGTTGGCCTTGGGAGGAGTGGGAGCTGCTCGCTCCTTAAAAGTGTCTGCTTTCGAAGACAGAAGTCCATTCCCTTTCCCCTTTGAACCGTTTGAATGTGCCATCGTGGGTATTAACGCGGATGATGGATGAGGCTGAAGAGATCTAATCGGTTTCTCCGTTCTGACCTTTTTTTTCTTCAGTTTGTGTTTCTTCATGCCTTCCAAGCTGGGGCTTTCAACAGCATGCATTAGTGCCTTGCCGAAGGGTTTTTGCTTTTGTAGAAACGGTTTAAAGACACTCCTTTCCTTCAGCTGCTCCAGCTGATAGGTGCGGATTGCTTCCTCAATCCCATCGTCGCTGGTAGAATCGGATTCCACCTGGATAGCGTGTGGGGTGAAGGTTTCCCTTTTGTTCTGATGCTCCTTTTTCTCCAGCTGGAATCTTTGAATGGCCTCCTCGATGCCGTCGTCCGTACTGGAATCAATCGACTCCTCCTCCACCTTGCCAGCGATTGGGCATTTTGGATTTTTGCTGGAGATGCTGATTGTTTTAGAGGGAATTTTCAATATCTCTCTTGAGCCGAGTAAACTCTTGGTTGAACTGCTACCCAACTGAAAGTTCTCATCAAGGGACGCCTTGTTTTTTATGTACTTTTTTATGGGTATGGTCGCTGGTGCTGGAGGAGTCTCAGCTTTGGCATGCCTCAGAAACTGGCTGCTGGAAACCACGGACATGTGGCTCTCGGGGGTTTGCCTGGAAAGCTCATGAATGGATGGATCCCTTCTGGGAATTTTCGCCGACTGGAAAAGAGGCTCCGCCTTGCGTTTGTGATCGTCTTTTTCTTTCAGGTACTCGAGTATTGCCTCCTCGATCCCTCTGTCCACAGAATCGTCACTGTCTGAGTCACTGCTGTCATGGTGGTTTGAGGAAGAACCACGGGGCTGGGGTTTATCAGCAGGAGTTTTAGTTTTGCACTTGGCTGCCACATAGGAGCCCACTGCAGCCTGGCAGACTGGGGTTTGGCCATCCTCTCCTGATAGCACGTTTCCCTCGATCTCGTCGCCCATCTCGAGTGAGGACTGAGTGCTCCTGAGGCTCTCTATGATCATCTGGACCTTGTCTGAGATAGGTGTGCCTCTGGCGGACAACTCTGTGTCAGAGTCATTGAAGCAAACTGGAAGGCTAAAGCCTCCAGGTGGGCCACATCTTCTCCACTCGGTTTGTGTCGCTGCGACAGGTGGTACATTCATCAAGTACATTCTAGTAAAGTATGGAGGGGTCCCCGAGCATTGGAGAGCGGCAGCCTCCCACGACAATCACATGCTGAGGAGAAGAAAAACAAAGAAATTATGACAGACGGTCAAGGTTACTGAGAATTTGCACCTAACTTAATTATCCAGACAATAGTTAGGGAATATTCACAGGATATAATTCGAATACTGACATTTGAATGAGATTATTTTTTTTATTTCAAACTGCCATTTTCCTAAATGGCCACTTTTTTTTCTAGGGAGATTTAACGGATAATTGAGCAGGTTGATGACCGTATTTGACGAACACTGACAAAAAATCGTGAGCAACGGTTTTTATTTCCCTCCCTTTTGGTTAATGTTTGTCTTACTGTAGAACTGGGTAAGATTGTGTCCAGGTGTATCTACATTTTGGCCTACTGAAAGAGACGGGATTTTATTACAGCTATTACAAATGATGGCAGGTGGCCAAAGCACCACCCGGTGCAATGTCACAGTGAAAATATATCCCAAGTCTTTTTAACATATTTGTATGTTAATATATGATTGTGTTGCTCGTTTGAGGTTTTATAAGCTGTCATCTGTCATCAGCAGTGGAAGCTTTTAGATAATTAGCAGGCTGGGCCACTGGTTGAACCAGCATTCATCTAATTCTGATTACAAATACGGTATTTTCGCTATATTACAACAGTAGCATTTTTACTTCTGAAGGATGACTGTGTTCAACTTTATTCATGCATTTATGTCAATATTTTAGTCCATTCTCCATTGCATTTCTTCCCCCCAACTTTAGAGTTGCCGACCAGATTTGGAGGTCACAGTCCAAACTTCTACATTAGTGGAGGCCGTGTCAAATGTGTTTGAGAAGTCTGCAAACACATTATATACACTTAAAAAAGTTATGGAAATGTAAAATGGGTTCATGGGTAACACCAAGGTTCCAAGTATCCTGAAATGGTTCAAGAACCAGAGGGATTTTTTGATGGAGGGATGGTATTTGGTTTTTGCCAGTATGTCATAATCTGATACAGTTCTAGCCACTCATCTGCAGACATAAATACGGGAAAATTCAGCCGTGCTCTTGTTTGTTTTTGGACCAACAGTAATATATCACTTTAAATTCTTATAAACATCGGAAATTATGTGCAGACACAGTCCTGCATCTGTATTTGGTAGAGAAAGTAAAAAAGATATAATATTTTCTTCAGGAAATGGCCTTCGATTAATAGAACTGTCCAAAGATTCACGGAATATAAAGAAGAATACAAAAATAGAAACCATATTTCCCCCTCTAGACTTATCTTGTGATCAGCTAGGGAACTCCAACACCAAGTTTGGAAATCACTTGACCAAATTAAATATTCCAAGTCGTTCTACCTAGTTTCACTACTTGCCTGTGATTATACATCAGTATTAACAGTCAACAAGGGTCATAGAAAAGTACAGAGTGTGTAACTTACGTTTAAATCACAACAGGCACTGAACCCTACATTGGCCCATCTACTGTCACAATACATGGTCCATGTGTGCCTTGTTTTTTTTCAAACGGTTAGTGTAAACACAGAGTGCTTTTAATGTTCTTTTCAAATAATTAACTGCTGTTGTTTGTGGTTATCATCAAATGACCCCCAACATATCTGAGAATAACTAAAAAATACATTTAAAATGCCTTTATATGACAAAATATGAAGGCTTTGATACGAGTCGTGTTTAACATTTGTTAACAATTAACTAAATCCGGAATTGCGCCAACAACTAGCATGTCCTGGAATATTTACCACCAACATGAGTCGCCTTGCCGGAGAGCCTTGCTAGCATACCTGCCCGGGCTGTAAATCCACCCTCCCGGCTTAGTGTGCAGCCTGCTTCGGGAAGGAACAGCCCGGCTTGGCTGGCTGGCTGGACCACGGCACAATACGACTAACTCTTAAACCACCGTGTTGGTCATTATAACCAGCCGAAACTGGCACAGAGTGCAAATTCCGTCATGAAACAGTTGGTCACCAAAGACGCCCTGCTGAAAATTAGCAACAAAAAAAAAGCACAACCACAAAGCTACAAACGTCACACCGTTGTGTCAACTTTGTCTGCCACATTAATAAGAAAGTTTCACCAGAACGACCAACATCTCTGTTGGATGTGGGGGATTTTCAATATTCCATTATCAAAACGTGTATTTGCGAACGTTTCCGGAGGCTTCGGTAGCTGCTACAGAGCAACCGCGGCAGTCCTTGTAACCCTCTAGCGGCACGGACCGCACCGATGCCCGGCGTGCATCGACAGGAGACTCCGCAGAGCAACCATGTTTCTTCGTACCGGCCGTGGTTGTTGGTGCTCGGTCGAAAACAACCACTGACCGTAAGTAATTGTTGTCGACGCATTTTGGTAAAGCAAACAAGTTTAATTTGGGAGAGCAACGACTTGGGTGGCGTGAAACAGCGAAGGGATAAGAGGCGAGTCGGTGACTTGAAAGACACAGGCGGGCCTCCCGGCTGCTGCAGCCCCGGCATTTTCTCCGGCAAAGAAAGGCTTTGTATAGAGCCACGGCGTACACTCCTAGCTCGGCTATTTCGTCCAAAATCCACCCACCAAAAACGGACACCACACACGTTTGACTCACCTGGTTGTGACACACGACCGCCACAATAAAGTAGGAGCACTTTTTCTGCCTCGATGTAAGCCGCGTTGGAGATAATTCGGCGTCCGTCTCGGGCTTCGCACACAGCCTGAAGCTCTAGCCGTCAGCCCCCCTCCTCCGCTCCGACTACCGGGCTGACGAGCTTCCTCAAACCCAGAGTCCAGCCGAGCATGGACCCATTCAAATATGGCAACGGCGTGTTGACACAGAAAACAAAAACACGAACGTTTCAGGGCTTAGCATAGCAAGAAAAAAACAAAAACGTTCGAGCAAGTTACACCCAATTACGTTTAAATGATAAGTAAAGAAGATGAGCCTGGAGGGACCTGTAGCTTTAACAACCTTTCGCCCACTGGGACCTGAGCACTTTTTATCGTGGAACTAGAAGACAAATGTGTTCCATGTTATCTGAAAAAGTTGAAATATGTGCACCTTCATTAGCGCCCAACATTTAGTTACAGTTTGCAACTATCAGACTTTCTTTTAGGAAAGTTTTATCTCCTGAGACTACTCCCAGTTTATGCTCAACGCTGATATGAACAGTTTTAGGTACCCATAATAATTTTTCGAATAATAATTTCAAATCCTTACATTCATGATATTATTAAAATGTATCAATATTCACATGAACTTGAGTCCAAAAAAGATGCAGCTGTGGGTTAACCACAAGTTGGATTTTTCTACTGTATAGCTGTTTTTTCTTTGACAAATTACCAAAAATTGCTAATATATTTCAAAATTTCTTCCGGCATTACATCCTTACAATGGAGAAATTAGAACATTATTTCAGTTTTCATCTTTTAGGTAAAAAATCAAATTATATTAATTAATCACTGCTCTGAAACTAGAAACCTGAAATTAGCTTATATTTATATAGCAAGTTAATTTAAAATGACTGATGTTGCACAACTTCTTAGCTATTATTCTTAAAGCATTTGCATTTTCCTCACAAGTGCAGTTACATTAAGTCAACATGGTTTGTCTACAGTTGGGAGAATTGCAGACTAACTTGCATAACCCAAAAGAAGTTGTAAGTCTATGTAAGGTGTAAGAAGTAATACATTCCTGGATAAACTAAAGGTCAGTGCATTTGGTAGAAATCTACAAGAAACATAGATGGGTACATTTTCTTTTGATGTCCTTCAAGGCTTCTGAAACGCTACCCATTTGAATGCAAGCCAGTTTTAACTTGGGTGTCATGACTAATCCATTTTTATGCAGAATAATTCAAATTGACATGAGTGTTATAGAAGCACCAAATCTTGGACTATGAATATTTTAAATGTTTTCTACCATGAGGTTTTCTTTCAGGCTGTGAACCATTGAGCATAAGCCATTGATAACAAAAACAGTGATGTATAATTGAACCTGAGGTGTGATTTTCTTTCCCAAAACAATTTGTGATGAATCCATAATATCTATATATACACTCAATTAATATGAACACAGACAAAGAACCATTATTGATCTCACTTGTGATAGATTTGACTATTTTCGTATTAATCTAGAATAAACAAAGTCACCAACTAACCAAACCAAACATGCATATGCTTGTAAACCAAACTCACACAAGTTTAAACCCTCTGAACCAGCAGGCTGCTCATCCTGTATATACCAGTACATTTCTTTCTGTACTGTTAGTAATGCTGGTTCATCTGACTATCATCTTTTTTTGTGGCATATTCACATTTTGAAATATTATAACATACCATGTTATGTACACAAAAACTTGGTACACTTGCTTAGATTTTTGCTTATCTCCATTTATGATTTTGTACTGTTCCTGCAGGTGTTAACCTCAGCATTTACCTGGCATGCCCTCATGATAAACTAACACTACTGGGACAGCTGATGATGTTTTAACTGTTTGTACAGGTAGTGGAGTGCAAAGCAAATACATAGCTGGAATATTCAAGAGGAAAAAACGTTTATTTCCTTGTTTCTTATGATCTCTGCTTTATAAAACCATTTAGTTGAGATCAGTTGAAATGATGGAACACATTCATTGTAACACAAGACATTAATTTAACATTATTTCATTTACAGGTTCGATTCTGGACGATCATCTCAGTGATGCAGTGACAGGAGCAAATTTTGATAAAGGTGGATGGTCAGTGTTAGGTTGTGGCAGATGTGAAGCGTATCACTGGTCGCAGAGGTGGCCAAGAGGTGGGTTGTGTCTCAATTGGTCTGGGCGGAAGAAGGGGGATCCGACCGACTGGTTACAGAAAAATAACAGGCAAGAAGACCACTGATCCAGAGTCTGGTCTATGGAATAAAAAATGTGAGCTTGAGTGTGTGTGCAAACAGAAAAAGTTGTGGGGTGGAAAGCTCAGACAACAGCAAAAAAGAGCAGATTAGACCTCTTTGTTCAACTTGAAACAACTATTTTGATAAGTTGAAACTGTTCATACAATGATCTTGTGATGAAAAGCATCTAAAGAATCCAAAAAATCCAAGTTTGGAAACAGTTGCTTTGATTGGACTGAATTTATGGATTTTCAGTGTATATACTTCGGTATTATGATGTATTTACTTGTGTATTTATGGATTTCTGTCTTACTCGTCACTATTAATGGATCTATCCTAACAAAACAAAAAAAGCATTAAAAAAGATGAATCTTTTCCTAAATTAGGTAATCTTCCGTCAAATGTTGTAAAAGTGGACGTTCTGAACACAGATCATTCCCAGTTTAGGCTTTCAATTATTACTTGGATTCCCATAGTTTGGATTTGCCCCAAATAAACCTAGTCGTGTTGTGTTACTGATGTGTTTCCGTGCCATTTATCTTTGTGTCATTGATCATATCTGCTAACAATATAACGAAAAAAGATTTTGTTTAATTTAGGCTAGAAAAAGAGAGGTTGCAGGTAAGATTGATTTTTCTACATCTTAATTCCACCAGCTAATCTTCTGTTTTTGCCCACAATGAGCCAAACTAAAGTAGCATTTTTTTTCTCTTGTTTCAATTATGCATCCACCTGATCTCTGTATTAAGAGGGAATAAAGTGTTATGCTTCCTTTTTTTTGTGCAGCATTCCTTTGGAGATTTACATCTGTGTAGTTGGTCCAGTGGTTAGGGGTCAGTTCTTTATGGCAGTGCAAAAGCTGGCACCAGCCGCACAGCGTCATGTTCCTGACCTTGGAATGCACTCTGCTTGGTCAATTGCTGGTTTCATTTACATGCAAATGAGGAAGTGATATGCTTGTTATTGGTACTTTATAATAATTGTGTCAGATGTTGCGCCGAGAAGACACATGAGAGGACAAGGCAATAAGTCCTCCAGATCCATTAGTTAGATGATAAAATGAGATATTTGATGGGAATGCTAAACAGCCTGTCTGTATTCTTTCATTTTTCTCTTGCTCAGCTTTTCTTTTCTGGTATCTGCCATCCACTGTGGATGTCGAACTATGCCGCTGCAGAAGTGACCTCAGAGGGGGGAAAAAAAGAATCAGCACCATGGACAGCAGCTCTGCTCTCTCCAGCTTTGATGGGAAAGATGGGAGCTTTAGATTAGATAAGACCTTAGAGGTCAATTTGAGTCTTTACCATGAAAATAAACTCGGAGACTTATTCTTATGTCAGTTATGTTCCAAAAACATTTGGACCGCCTTCTTTCTTGATGTTACACCATATTTACTCCAACTCTTTTCCTTTCTTTTCAACAGCTCAACTGTTTAGCAATTATATATTCTAGATTTGTATGAACAAAAACAATACATAGATCTTGCACACAATATTTAAAAGAACACGCCATCTTTAAATTGGTGACCTTTGGAGATCTTCACCGTGTGTTTCATTGTGGTAGTTTTTTTTTTCTTCACCCCCACACTCTTGTTCTGGGAGATGTCCATGTAAGTGGAGGTAATTGCTATTGCAATTGGTACTGACAGACTACAAACAATGGAGCAACTTTTTATTGGAGAAAATTATGTTTCAGGGGAAGCAATAAAAGTGGTTTGCTGAGGTAGCTGCAAGATTTAGCTGACTCAGATTCTTCTTTCTAGTTTATGATAGTTAGCCTACATTTTCTGTTGAGACTCTGAGTAACTTTTTATGTGTGTAATGCAGAGCTAAGGAGGATCCAGGGTGCATTCCACGATGAATAAACAGACTGACAGTGTGGTATGACTGTTTATGTCCTAATATCTCGAGCTCTTCAATCAATTTTCCCTTTTTTTGCCAAACAAACTGGGGACAAAACCTGTGATCATGCAATCCCAGTCATTAAGTACATTGGAATATATGTTTCATTTAACCAAAATGACATTTTTTAGACTCAAATTGACACAATATCATACAACATCTTGAGATACAAAATAAACATTGCCACTATACAAATGGTCATTTTCCCTAAAGTGAACTTTTTCCAAAGACCTACGTTATTCCATATCCAGGCTGATTGTCTTCCCCTGCTTTACCCTGCTGCCAACTAAAATCCTGTATTTACGGCCATTTGCAATCCCCGAAATCTGATTTTATCTAAAACTTAAATTGCCAACATAAAGCCTGCCTGGCTTGACAATGGAGAAACGTTATGTAAAAAAACTCTCTATTCAATACATTGCTTTCTTTGACACATCAATTATGGGTCATTCTTGCTACAAATCATATACAGAAATGGCTATTTATTCCCATGCGTTCTGACTCTAATCAAATCATTCTCTTTTGGATCTGTGGAAGCTGTTCAGGCTCCACAGCATCTCACAATATTTTATTTCTATACTTATTGGCAATTTATTTAAATTAATAGCCGAACACTTTCAAAATAGTACCTCAATAGCTTAAACTATTGACCCCCAACAAACAGTGATCAATAAATCAGTGGCTCAACTGTCAGACAGATCATACATATTTAGACCTCAGCTGAAGAGCGTGACTCACTGAGGGACACTACTCTTTATTCTTATGTTAAAACCAGAATAAATGAGGGCTCACATCCTTAGAGCAAAACCTTATAATATATAGCATACACCCACTATGATTAGTATGTCCAGCAAACCCACTGTCCATTTGTGATATTGTTATCTGTATGTTGCAAAAATCATTTTTTGGAAATGATCACAAGTTATCGCCATGTTCAGCTCATCTGCAGTAATGTCAGGTACTTACAGCAACAACATTAAGGTTTCCAATGGATACCTGGTAATATTTCATCCCTTGCATG